TTATACTACTAGCTTTATATCTTTAACCTTTCTAAATTAAACCTTAGCTAGGCTAGCCTAGCCCCTCTAATACTTAATATATACTAGAGGGTTAACTAATAGTTAGCCTATATCTAAGAAGCTAGAGATCTCTTTTATATACCTAGATCTAAGGTTACTATTAATAAGGCTATAGTCTAGTTTATAGGCTAGGCCTAGGAGATAATAACTATCTTAATAAAGCTAATCCTAACTAGCTTTAAAGTATAGATTTTTGCCTAATCTAGGTACTGCCTCTAGTAGCTTTAGTATATTTATAGTAAAGGCCTATATAGACTAGTCCCTTAGGTCTAGTGCTAAGTTAAGGCTAACTAGGCTATATAGGTAGCCTAGTTAACCTTAACTTAATAGGTAGTAATAACCTTTATTAGCCTTATATAGCTAGTAACTTACTATATTTATCTAAATAACCTTTTTTTATTTATATAGCTTTTCTAGGCCTTCTAGAAGCTTAGTATTAAAGCTTCTAGTACTTACTAAAGAAACAGTAGGATAAATCTAGCCTTTATAGCTAAAAAGAATATAGAAGGCTAAGGTATCTCTTAAGGTACTATTTATAGTATTTCTATATTAAATAAGTTAGTATATATAATAAATCCTCTTTATTATATATTACTTTTACTAATTAGTTTATAGTAATATAAGTTAACTAGTTTAGCTAAAAGGATAATACCTTTATGCTCTTCTTTATAATTATCTTCTAGGCCTCTTTAGAAGAGAAGGTTATCTATTACTAGCGCTAGCTAACTAAAGATACTCTTACTAAGTAGGCTACTTAGTGTCTCTTTAGCCTAGAGGCCTAAATAAATTTACTAGTGCCTAGGTTAATTAACTAATATAACTACTATATAAATAGTAAAAATATTAGTAACTAGATAAAGGCCTATTATTAATAAAAGTACCTTATTTATTAAGAAGGCTAGTAGGCCTTTACCTAGGAGTTTTTTTTACTAGTTATACTTATAAATACCTTTATACTATAGTACCTTAGTAACTTTAACTAGACCTCTATTAAAAACTAGTACCTATAGTAAAAGACTATTACTACCTAGCTTATTTAACACTTTATAACACTAGTATAAGGTTAACTAAAAGCTTAGCCTAGGTACCCTATAGATAGGCGTAATAATATAGTTCTATAGTAAGACTATATAGAGGGGTTAAGAGGGAAATATAGGCCTTATGCCTACTGTAGTAAGGTAAAGTTATAAGACTATAGGGTAGCCCTAGGTAAGATATCTAGGAATAGTGTTACTTAAAGAAAGTCTTGTTAAGGTTGCTTAACTTGTAATATAGCTCTTTATAAGCAGGGAAATTACTAGTACCTCTGGTATAGTTAAAAATAGGCGTAAATAGAGGTACTATATATATTTGCACCTTTGCGGGGTCATTATTGGTGCCCACTGTGGAGATAGGGCCTTATCGCCCCTGATGGGATAGGTTATAACACACCCCCTTAGACTAAGCAGAGATGCTTAATCTAGTTAACACCCCTAATCTAAGCAGAGCATTATACAGTACTTAGTCAGAGTTAACAGGGGAAGCGACACCCCCTAGCCTACCAGCCTATAAGAGGAATCAAGCCCTAGGTATTAAGATACTGCCAGACCAGGCTACACGTGGGAATCAAACCCACAAGGTCTATAACGCTCAGACGCTAGACTCCAGGGCTATACTATACTAGCACTAGAGCAAACTAGGCTCATAACTGTCATACTAAAAACGACGCTGTTAGTTGTAATTAGAGCAGCAACCAACGCCTTATATAGGACCTATAGGCCACAACAGTTCTTATGTGAGCAATGTATTCACGGTGGCTCTCAGCGGCGCATTGCCATTGTGGCAATGTTTACATCTTCTGGCCTCAGCACGACGGGATCTGACGACGGAACCAACCACTTTTCTTTGCAGCTTCCCTTGAACTTTTGGCAAAGTTGGTCTCCACACGACTGAATGTTCCACCTTTCACGCCAAGGTACGGCGGCCTGTGGGTGGATGCACTCAGCCCATCACGAATCCCCCAAACGGCATTCAGCCTTGACTCAACACTCAGCTTGCTGTGCGTATTGGTGGGTTGCCAACATACGGCTGGCCTTCCGGCCGGTTGGAGCAATAGATCTTGGATTCGATATCTACTGTTGCATGGAGAAGGGAAGGAATCTAGGAAGGGGGATAGGCCAGATGGGCGATCTATATGGGGGCTGTGACCGGCGTCCCGGCTGATCCGGTTCCGGATATCCTGCCGGGATTCTCAAGATGCCAATTGTTCCAACATCTGTTCATTATCACCAAAGTCTCTTGGAAACCGAATCATCATGCTATCGCAGGCGTGTTCATGTCATCTTCCAGGCTTTTGTTCCAGGTTTCAAACCCGCAAGCATCGAGGCTTTTATGGTGAACCATTCGATCAGCCATAGCCACCGACAGCCGGCACAGGCATTAATCGTCGGTTTGCGAACAACCAGTCTCACCTCGTGTCGGCAATACGGCTTTCCAGGATGGGTTTGTTGAAATAACGTTTTCCTCAGCCGACACCCCTTCGGACGGGCTTGTTGCCTGCTGGTCGATAGACTCTGGCACTCGCAGCCAAACTCTGGGCCTCCCAGGCCACAAGCTCACTCTCAAGGTATGCCCGCTCGACTTCCTTCCCTCATGCTCAGTCCCCGAATCCATATCCGCGATTGGAATTTCGCCGACATCTTCTTATGCCAGGACTCACCGCCGTCTGGCGTCAGTCTGTCCTCTGCACTCTTGGGTGGCTCGAAGTATGGCAAGAAGATGCAAAGGATTAGGCCACTTGACAGGCAAGAGTCTTCCCTCCGCCCGACTCTTATGGTAGACTGACACTTTACGAGAGCGCCTTCTGGTTCCAGCGGACGTTGCACAGACCATTGCCTGCACTTGTCCTGTCGCTATCTTGAGCCATCGGCAATCTCGTCTTTTTGTCGGCCTTTGAGATCCTCGATTTTGGGGTGGATTGGGGGGCCGGGGGGGGCGGCAGAGGAGAGGATAGGAGCGAGCGACCGGGTGGAAGGACAAAGAGGAGGGGGGGGGGGGGGGGACGAGGAGCAGAAGGGAGACTCCATATGTGCTCGAGTTTAGGAGTGTAACCGCTTAGGTTAGTAGGAACTCTGGGGGACAGGAAGCATCTGCTCAAACTCTGATGTGCGTGAGTTTGGTGTCAGGTATTGCTAATAAAAAGAGAGTAAAGGAAAAAGAGCGAATGCAGCCTTGAGAAATGAAGAGACACAGGTGTGTGCTGTAAGTAACAGCAGGCAAGAAACAACGTTCCCGGAGTTTGGTGAAGGATGCGACTGTTGCTGCAGCGGGTATGCCAATGCAGATGAGGCAATTCGGCATGACCTTCCACGATTTCATATGTAAAATGAGTTTGATTCCCGTGGGTGGGAGTAGGGCTCCGATCTGAGTTTCCAGATTCGTGGTACCGCGGTGGTGGCATCGAGGTTGTAGTTGAGGAGCTTGATGTCTTTCCCAGTGGTTATCCGAGCCAACGGAGATAGGTTGGTTCCAAGACATATATTGAGTCCCCCCCGGGCCCCAAACCATCCTTTCTACATATTCCAAACCAAAGCAAAGCGACCCGTCACGTCACTGAAACAAGCGTCTGCCTCTGCAACACGGCTCAATCACTACCACCTCGGATTGCAACGTCAATTAACAAAGGCCATCTGCCCCAACTCTTGGTTTACTACGACTTCCACTTCACAAATCTCATACACAATGAAGATCACTTCTTTGGCGCTCGGGGTCCTTGCGATGGCCACATGTACGCTGGCAGCGGATCCCAAGAAGCACCCCGGCTGGCAGGTACCGTACGAGAACGAGCCTCTGCCTCTCCACGAGACCCCAGAATGCATGCAGCGCTGCATGGAAGAGAAGAATTGGAAGATGGGCTTCGACATCTACACGGTTCCCCGAATCACGTTCTGCCGGGACGAATGGGACACATTTTTCACCTGGTTCACGTACCACGTGGGCTTCTGCTCCAGACCGGCCTGTGGTGGTGCCGATAAAGATGGCAACGCCAAGAGAAACGCGGCGTGGATGTACAAGCTGTGCGGGTTCCCAAGGCAGTCCACGGTCTCGGGCTTGGAGGATTGGAAGACTCTTCCTCCGGAGGAGTACACGGAGGATATGGAGTAATAGGCATGGGTCGACGAGGAAGGACTCGATGGTGACTGAAGGGCAACATGACGGGTGCCGAGGGATTTATAACCCAACCTCATGGTTTTGGGAATGCGGGAAGCCGGGAAGCTTTGGAAATTAGGCATGGGGAGAGACATCAACATCACTACACCACCACACCACTACTATATCAACACCTCTGGTCTCTCCTCAGCCTCAACTTTTACTCTGCCGCCACATAATGATAATATCAATCGGTGGTCTCCAATTGCCGCCATGTTTTGCAGCCATGGATTCCTTTTCGCATCTTCATTGCTCTCGTCTGTGCCTCCGTGGGTGAAAAAATGATGAGATATAACTCTGATAATCGGGACAGTAGACGCATCGCTCCATGGTGACTTGCGTGAGTCGTGACCAGTCATTCCCGGTGAGGTGTCGGTGAGTGAGGGGTGACCGGGGAGGAGGGCGAGGGTTGGGGGTGGATGGGCGATGGAGTATTATTAAGGTACATTGCCCTGGCCGTCCGTCCCACTTGAGGCCGCAAAGGTACACAATGGATGGATGTATAGGAACACAGTACCATGGAATTTCGTAACGAAACCCCTCCATCAGCCAAGTATCTGCTCAGTGGACCGGAGGAGCTAAACGATGTCGTGCTGACGGCTCTTGACACATGCGCACGGTGGGCCGATCTGCAAATGCATGCATGGGACACACACACACACAAACACACACAAACACACACAAAGGCTGAGGCCGGCCGAGCTGCAGGCCCGGATGGGGTCCAGATTGGGAGCATCGGCCGTCGGTGAAGGGTCCCGAAAAAGACAATCGCAGGGGAGTGGGGAGGGAAAACAAGAAAAAAGAAAAATAAGAGGGAAAAAAAAAACCGAAGAAAAGAGCCCCAAGAGTCCAGCTGCCTGAGTAGTGCAGATACGTAGGAGATGTGCCTCGGCACGGAAGAGGGGAGGGTGGAGGGGTCGAGAGCAAAGGATGAAGGCGTCCAATCGGGGCAATATTGAGAGCGCCATGCCCCCATTCCATGTATTGTTCTTGTCTGTATCCGTATTGTCCTCGTCCGTATTGTCCTCGTCCGTATTGTCCTCGTCCGTATTGTCCTCGTCCGTATTGTCCTCGTCCGTATTGTCCTCTTCTGTATTGTTCTTGTCTGTGTTGTTCTTGTCTGTTGGTAGGATTATCTATATCGAAAGTACAGACACACCAGGTAGATGGCGAGCCTACTCGTACATGAAAATGATTCCCACAATAGAGGTGTATGAATGCCGATGAACCCTCAACGATTAGGTAGGCTACGCCGCACGCTAGCCGTCACGCACCCGGCGGATTGCAACGCCGATTCATCTGTTAAGCTTCGAGTCTCACAAAACCGAGCTTCCAATCCGGGGCTGGGAACGGCAGTGCAGCCCGAACCACTCACGCCATCCGAACCCCCTTTCGGAATGCTACATGGGACGGACGAAAGCTCAACGGCCCCCAAAGCAATCTACACAGTACAATACCTAGTCAGTACGAGTAAGTAGTAGTAGGCATGCATTTGTTCCTCCGTCCATCGTTCCCGCACTTCGCTTCGCCTCGCTTCCAGACGATCAGGGACCCCCCCCCCCCCCCCCCCCTGAGACCAGTCAGGCTGTCAATGCCGGGCACAGGGGGGGCTCTAGAGGGCACGGATGGGAGGGTGGTAGGCTCGCTAGTCAAGCTACCTAGTCACCTACTAGTGCTAGTAGTGTACACGTAAACTACTCGCTTACTGGCTTGGAGATCGACAGACGATGAACAGCGGACACGCAGGCCGACGCGAAAAGTGGCTTGCCAACTGGGAAAGCCCGGCGTCCCTCGCCTCGTACCTCGGCATGGCGTCATGAACGGTTACTCGGCTCCAGCCTCCACCACGGGAGCCCGCTCCTGGCAGGTGTTCATGTACGTAGTGTACAGATGGGTACGAATACAGGTAGGTAGCCATCAACCAGTCGGCCAGTCGGGGGGGTCCTTGGTCATTGGAGGGGGCGGGCGAACCAGGATGCTGACTACGGATACCAATACCGAGAACGGAGTCTCACATTGGCCTACTGAGCACGTATACGACTGCTTGTGCATGCATCCCGCCCCAGCCCCTTGGAGGTGTTGTTGATGTACAGACTTCGTACGAATATGTCCATGTTCGCGTACGGAGTACATACCCGTATGTACGCTACCAGGTATGGACAAGTACAGAGGTCTATTTATATGCACCCATGTACCTGTACCGTCTCCCTAGCGAGGATGCACCACTGCGTAGGCACATCGGAAAAGCGAGAAATCCTCTAGACGACGCGCCCCCCGACCGGTGTCTTCGGGGAAATCAGCCGCTGCCAGTCGAGGCCCTGCCATGCAATCGACAAATACAGCGCACATCTGTACGACCCGAGGCGCGTGTCTCAACGCGGCGATGACAGGTCCCCTCATTCAGGCCTCATCCCTACTAGCCCGTGCCCCGTGCGCCGGAGAACATTCCTCGATCGTTCGCTGGAGTCTTAGAGCTCGTGCGGGCCAATGTCCCTCTTTGGTCGTCGTGCTCCGGGGAGGGGGGCGCGCGCGGGGCACGAGAAAAATGGCCATGACATGGACATGTGCCAAAGGAGAAGAGAGAGAGAGAGAGAGAGAGAGAGAAATGGATTGGGGGTTGAGGGAGTGGGCAAGAAAGAAGGTTTTGGTACGCGGCACGGCGATGAAGCTCGGAGGAGTAAGCCAGCCCGTCCCTTGGACGAGGCGGAGAATCCAAAAGTATGAAGTATGTCTGTCTCTTGACTTTCGGGTGAAGCCGACTGACTACTAATACCCCTCTGTTCCCCTCCAGAGCCTGATACGTATGACTTTTGGAAAGGCGCTTCGGAAAGACGTGTCTGGAATTCTGTAGTGCTGTATACATCTCTCCCCGATATCCCTGACACAAATTTTCCACCTCCGCGACCCTCCTCCACATCACAAGCACAATAATGTCGACGCAGAACCTCACCGTCGTGCTCGCCGAGCGTCCCAAGGCCGAGATCGTCCCCGGCCAGACCTTCAAGACGGAGCTGAAGCCTATCCCCAAGGCCGACGACCTCAAGGATGGAGAGATCCTCATTGAGAACTGGTACCTCTCGCTGGACCCCGCCATGCGCGGCTGGTTGAACGGTGCGTGCCCTCTTACCCTCTGCTGCTGGTGCTGCTGGTGCTGCTGCTGCTGGTCAAAAAACAATTGCTGACGAACCTTCCCCAGACCGCCGCTCCTACATCCCCCCCGTCCAGATCGGCGAAGTCATGCGCGGTGCCACCGTCGGCCGCGTCATCGCCTCCAAGTCCCCCAAGGCCAAGGAGGGCGACGTCCTCCCCGCCTTCGGCGGCTGGTCCGAGTACAGCGTCATCCACGACAGCCGCGTCGAGCCCGTCTCGTCTTACCCGGCCGTCTCGCAGCCGGTCGACTACCTCTCGGGCATCGGCATGACGGCGCTGACCGCCTACTTTGGCATGCTCCGCGTCGGCGACCCGAAGCCCGGCGAGACCGTCGTCGTCTCGGGCGCCGCCGGCGCCACCGGCAGCGTGGCCGGCCAGATCGCCAAGCTCAAGGGCGCGCGCGTCGTCGGCCTCGCCGGCTCCGACGACAAGTGCCGCTGGCTCACCGAGGAGCTCGGCTTCGACGCCGCCCTCAACTACAAGGACCCCGAGTTCAAGCAGAAGTTCAAGGACGCCACCCCGAACTTCATCGACGTCTACTTTGACAACGTCGGCGGCGACATCCTCGACATGGCCCTCGCCCGCGCCAAGGAGTTCTCCCGCTTCGTCATGTGCGGCGGCATCAGCCAGTACAACTCGGCCACGCCCCAGGGCCCCAAGGTAAAACCCACCCCCGCTCGCCGTATTCGCCGTGTTCGGCCCCCCACCCCCCACCCCCAAGACTGACCTCTCGCCTCACAGAACTACGCCAACATCATCACGATGCGCATCAAGATGCAGGGCTTCATCGTCTTCGACTTCGTCAAGGAGTACGCCCAGGCCCGCAAGGAGCTCGCGGCGTGGCTCGAGGAGGGCAAGATCAAGCGCAAGGAGACCATCGTCAAGGGCGGCCTCAAGACGGCCGAGCAGGCACTCGTGGACCTGTACAAGGGCATCAACACGGGCAAGCTGATTGTCGAGATCAAGAACCCCAAGGACGCGGCCAAGCTGTAAACAGGCGCCGCGTATGTCTCCGGGGGTTTGGTTTTTGTCGGAGGAAGCGGAGGATCACGAAAATCTTGCACTGCGAATGACTTGATGACACAAAATGTACAATTATGCATAATGACCTCGGACTTGGGTACGGAATGGATAGAGATGCCGATGGGATGAGGGCAAAACAAATAGAATGTTCAGATCGCTCTATCGGGAGTATGGGACCTATGTGCTTAACCGGGCTTATATGGGATGCATAACAGAAATAATGCATAGTATGCATAGTATGCATAGTATGCATAGTATGTAAATATCAGATCGACCAGCCTCCCCGCCATCGCCAATCTGGCTTGCCCCAAGCTCCTCATCCGCCTCGCGAACCCGGAACATCCATCCTCGACAAAGGTGGTTCACTTTCGCGTTGCCTCGGACATACGGCTGCAAACAGGCAACCCCCCCTCGGGAAATAGTCCCGCCTCCGCACGAGTCCTCCTGTTCGACATGGCAGCCCCGTCTCTCTCTCTCGACTGAGCTGCAGACTACCCAAGGCTTTTTTCCATCGGCGCAACCCGGGGCCACCCCAGCCACGCGGCCTGTCTACGAGACTGTGAATACCCCGACGGCGACGACGAGAGGCAAGGCTTTGTTCTCCGTCACAGGCACAGGAACGGAAACGGTCGACATTCGTGACGGTTAAGGCGGCCCACATTCTTGGCCATCCAAGCAACTGCCGGCCACCCTGTCGAGTCTGCGTGCCTCGAACTGAGACATCCCGCCGCAGTCAAAGATTCCATCGGCGTGCCGAAAGCGTTAGGACTGCCCAGCCCCGAGTCAACGGTCATGCTATAGAACCCTCCCCCGTAGTTCAGGAGACCTGTAACCATTCGCCAAGGTTCTTCGGAGGCTCGCGACGAACACCGAACGAGTAGAGGCGCAAACTCTCTTTGCCCGACAGGAGTTCGAAGCCCGCAGCAACGCGCCTCACCACATATCCAAAATGGCCCTATCACCCGAAGAGGTCGCGCACCTCCAACGACAAGCGAGGCGTCGCGCCGAACGAGCCGCAGCCGAGATGTCCTTCCGCAATGTCAGCTCCGACGACTACCTCATGAAACTGCGGGCCAAGCGTCGGCCAGGGCGGCGGCACGAGGTGGGAGACATTGTCGCCGCAGTCGAGATCGGCGAAGAACCATTGCCTCCATCACAGCCCGAATTCAGGCGCCCAACGGGTCCTGAACGGCAGCGGACGCACACTCGCACACAGTCCGCCAGCGCGACAATACCAGGCCCCCAGCAGCGCGCGGCGTCAACGCCCGTAGGCCGCAGAGCCACACTTGCTGGCCCCATATCCAGAAGTGCGCCCGTAAAAGCCCACGCGCCGTCTCAGAGGTACTCGGGTCAGCACGCGTCAAGCCAGCCGGACCTTCTCATGCGGGCCGCACAACGGCAGTCGGTCTCAACTCCAGGCCCAGCCACGGGCTTAAAGGCGGCACGCTCGTCACCGAAACCACGGCCTCCACGCCCCCGGTCGAGCCTCAGCATATTCTATCCCCGGAAGTCGGTCCGGCGAGTCGCGTCTGTCGGTGCCATCTCTTCCAAGAAGGTCGACTCACAAACAGCCCCCACGCTTAGGCAGCCCGTTCATACTCGTAGCAAATCAGTCCATGCTACGGCGGCTCCTTCAGAACCCCCCGCACGGCCCGGGACGACTCTTACCAAACGAGGCTCGCTGCGGATGCTCAAAGATACAATCAGGAGAGTTGCCAGCTCCTTCGAACTACGATCAACAAGAACCGAGAACACGGGGCTCGGCAACGACGACGGGCTGAAACACCGCTCCAGCAGAAGCCTCCTCCTGCGACCGTCACGTAAGCTGGGCTCCCAGCTGCGTCTGGGCACCGTTAGTGAAGAGTGAGCAAGAATTACTGAGTTCATTGCATACTCCTTTTTTTTTTTTTTTTTTTTTTTTTTTTTTGCCGCGCGAACGGCTCTCCCAACTACAGAGAATCGACTGGAAAGTACCATGTCTAGCAGCAGCATCTCAAGACGATGACATTTTGTACGACTAACGGCGATGAGATGACGACCCTGAACATGTTCGGATACCATAATCTAATGATGTATACTTGCTATTTTGACGTTTGGTTACCCGGGTCATGATGTCCTGTTTGTACAACTCCCCAACTGTGCTTCTCCCAGCCTCTGTCAGAGATATGCTATGAGATTCTCGACGCCGACTTGAACTGGGGAGAGAACGGGTAGTCGATATATCCATTAGGGAGTTTTGGCGTGTAGAAATACGTTCGATCGTACTTTTCCAGCTCGATGCCTTCCCTGATGCGGAAGACGAGATCCGGGTTCGGAATGAAATAGCGGCCGAAGGCGAAGATCACATCGTACTGTTTATACGTCTCTTTAATGGCTTTCCGTGCCGACTCGGCAGTCAAGCCGCCGGCGATCAATACCGGGCTCGCTTTGTTCCACAGCTCGACCAGCCACTTCACCGTCCGTTGTCCGCCGCACTCCGTGTCTTCGTTGCCACTGATCCGGGCCTCGATCAGGTGAAGATACGCCAGGCCCAGAGGCTTCAACTGCTCGACCAGATATCTGAAAGTGGGGTCCGGATCTTCCATTAGCATCCCTTGGAAGTCGCTGTACGGACTCAGGCGGACGGCCGTCCTATGAGCCCCGACAGCGTTGATGACGGCCTTGGTCACCTCGAGGTGGAAGCGCGCCCGCTTCTCGATACTGCCGCCCCAGGCGTCGGTCCGCTTGTTGCAGGTGTCCTGGAGGAACTGGTCCGGGAGGTACCCGTTGGCGCCGTGAATCTCGACGCCGTCAAAGCCGGCCGCGACGGCGTTGCGCGCAGCCGTCGCGTAGTCCTCGATGATATCCAGGATATCGGCCTCGCTCAGCTCCACCGGCGTGGGTGTGTCGCCGGCGATTGGCACCGCGCTCGATGACTCGAGCTTCAGGCCAAGCGACTGGAGCACGTCAATCTTACCACCACGGCCGAGATGCCACAGTTGGCAGTAGATGAAGGAGCCCTTTTCGTGGACGGCATCCGTCACTTGTTTCCAGCCGGCGATGTGAGCGTCGGTCCAGATTCCGGGTACGTTGAGGCGGCTTGCGGCGCGATACGAGATCATTGTCGCTTCGGATACGAGCAGAGTGCCGGGCACGCAGGCTCTCTGGGCGTAGTACTCTACCGGCTGGCATCAGCTTACAAAACTGCGCGGGCGAATTAGCAGTGCTTCGCGCTCACCCTTCATCATCGGAGTCGGCGTCCACTCGTCATCGGCGCGGTACCGAGTCAACGGGGCCAGCGCCAATCTGTTGGAGAGATGAACCGACCCGACGGTCAAGGGCGAGAAGAGCTTCGACATGGTGGCGACTAGTCAGAGTTTCGCGGGGGTTGGTTCATCAAGAGGGCACGGCGGGTCAAGATAAAGTAGATGCAGCAACAAGTCTAAAAAGCGGCGGCTAAGCGGCGTTGGTGATGCCGCCATCGTTGCAGCATTACTAGCGTGGACGGATAATCTTCGTTTATCTCTCCGTCTCTCTCTTCTTGGCACACACCCATGCAGATGCTTACTTGCCCCGACGTCGGCGGAGATCTGTTAAGACGGAAATCTCAAGTGTTTCGTATAATTCCGCCATCTCTCCGTACAAAGAGCCATTGTCAAGATGAACCCCCGCCCCGGGGGCGACCATTATGGCCATGGCAATTCCACTTATACCCGACGCCAACAGCTCCAGAAACCACACCGCTTCTCGGACGCGGATGCGCATCGGCACAAAACTTGCCGACAAAGAAAAGCGTCGGGTAGACGGCGGCCACCAATCTTGTTCTCGCCACCCATGCTGACCCATCTGGTGTGGATCGCCCACGTTGGAGACCGCGCACTTATTCCCGGAGGATGGATGGCTTTGACGTGATGGATACCTGTAACCAGTTCCAGTTACGTGTGCGGCCGATGCGCGCACCCCAATATACCCCGGGGGAAAAAATAATGACAGCCGGCACTTCGGAACCGAAGCCTGCAGCCTCGATCTAGACCGGGGGCCTCGACTTCTCGATTTTTCTTGGGCTGCTTCGCCGCGGATGGTGATCCTCTCTCTCTCCCACACAAACGACTCGCGGAGCATGCTACCGCCAAGATGAAGGAAGATGCGCCAATCAAGGACGACAACACGAGCGAGAAGACGGCGGCGCAACGGGTGCTCGGGTCGGAACCGGCCTCCAGCGACACTGAGGCCAGCACACCGCCATCGCCGGCCGAGAGACAGCAACCGAAAGACGACAGCGATGCAGAGAGTGTTGGCGGACAGAGAAACACCATGTCGCGGAAGCGCATGCTGCTGGCCTTCTCGGCGCTGTCCGTCTGCCTCTTCGTGTCCTTCATCGACCAGACCAGCGTCTCGACAGCGGTGCCGGCGATAGCGGGGGACCTCGACACCGGCACGGCGACGTCGTGGATCGGGACGTCGTTCCTCATCGCGTCGACGGCGTTCCAGCTCATCAACGGGCGGCTGTCCGACATCTTTGGCCGGAAGAACCTGCTGATGATATGCATGGTGTTGATGGCTGTCGGCGACACCCTCTGCGGGTTCGCCAAGACCAAGGAGCAGCTGTTTGCGTTCCGGGCCATCGCGGGTATTGGAGGCGGCGGGATCAACAGCATTGTCATGATCATCGTCAGTGACATCACAACGTTGGAGAATCGAGGCAAATATCAGGGTAAGCCATAACTATCTCTTCCCCTCTATATTTCTTCTTGTAAATGTTACAAAGCTTACATACTCTAAAGGTGTGCTTGGCGCCGTTATTGCCCTGGCAAATGGAGTTGGCCCCTTTGTTGGCGGCGCAGTCGTGCAGGAGGCCACGTGGAGGTGGGTTTTCTGGATGGTTCCCATCATATGTGCACCGGCAGCCGTCACCATACTCTTCTGCTTGCCCCTCAAGCACCGGTCGGGCAACTACGCGGAGAAGGTCAAGAAGATTGATTACGGCGGCATCGCGCTGAACATGGCCTCGACCCTCCTGGTGCTGGTTCCGCTTTCCGGCGGCGGCGTGTCCTACCCGTGGTCTTCGCCGTTCGTCATCGCAGCCGTGGCTGTCGGCGCCGTCGTGGGCGTGCTTTTTGTCTTGTACGAATGGAAGCTGGCAAGGCTCCCCATCATGCCCCTCCGCCTGTTCCAGGCACCGCACTGCAGCTATCTCTATGGCCAGACGTTCCTGATGGGTCAGGCGTACTTTGGCAATCTGTTTTACCTGCCCATCTACTTCCAATCGGTCCTCAAGTTCTCGCCTCTCGCCGCCGGCGCGATGATCCTGCCCGTCGTCGTCGCAACGTCGGTCATGTCCATTCTCTCGGGTCAGTACATGCTCCGGCTGGGGCGGTACATGCCCTGCATCCTCGTCGGGTTCTTCCTATGGACGCTGGGCAACGGGCTCACGATACTCTTTGGCCGCGACACGGGGCTGGGCGAGCTCATCGGGATTCTCATCATCGTCGGCGCGGGCATCGGCCTCACGCTGCAGCCGACGCTGGTGGGCATGTACGCCAACTCGCGGAGCGAGGACCGCGCCGTGACGACGGGTCTGCGGAACTTCATCCGCACCATCGGCGGCGCCTTCGGGCTGGTCGTCTCGGGCGTCATCCTCTCCAACACGCTGCGGCGGGACCTGCGAGGCAGGGGCTTCATCTCGGACGGCGTCATCGCCGAGCTGACGTCGTCGACGTACACGTTGGGGCAAAAGGGCTTCTCGGACGAGGAGCAGGCGGTGATCCTGCGGGCGTACATGGGGGGCCTGCACTACATCTTCATCTACTACGTCCTCTGCACCGGTCTCAGCCTGGCGCTGACGCTCGGCGTGGGCAACACGAGCCTGAAAGCGAAGAAGCCGGCGCAGGCCGAGGAGGCGTCCGAGGCCGCGAGCGAACCGTCGGCGGAGACTCTGACTCTGAGAAACGGAAACGAGAAGGGAGATGGTAGCAACTAGACACATACACACACACAGAGAGAGAGAGAGAGAGACTCTCTCTCTCACACACACACTTTCTCTCTCCGAGCAAGACTTGGGCACCAAGGCGGGGACATGGGCGGGTTACAGCATCGGTCGCATTTGGACGGAGTTACAGATTCAGAAAGATAGAAGACACTTGCAAGCATTACAAAACACAAATCACCGCGCTCTCGCATAGCGGACTTGTATTCTGGAGGTGTAGAGGAACTCACAAGAGAGTGTGTTGCGGATGACGGAACGCGTACAAGTATTTTGTTCTCTCTTACTCCCATTCCTGCCACTCGATCGTCGTCGCCCGTATCCCGATCCAGCGATCGGATTACATTACCCACGAAACGCGAGCCTGGGCGCTGCATCAACCCGCATTACCCCATCGTTATCACCACCTCCGACCCATCTGGCGACGTTATCCGCGGCCGCTGACGAACCCCACCTCCAACGAGACCGGTTCGACCCCGCGTCCTTATCAACACCCCTGGGACGGGGGGGGGGAGGGGGTTAGAGGCACGCACGTCTCCGAATGCTCTCCAACGGTTTCTTTGATCCGATGCGCGGCGGACCCGGGTCCTGTACCTAGTCGCATGAGGGCAGGTGACGGAAGATCTGGGCGAAGCCAGGTGTGCGCGTCGCCGTTCGATAACGCGCTGCAGGCTGCATTGGAGGTCGATAACGGGCGCCAATCTCGCGGGGTTTCGCGGGACCCAAACACACGCTTGCCCGTCGCAGGTAGTCCGGAATAGTGTGCGCATGCGCGGCCCCGCGATGCGATGCGGTTTGGGTTCGCCCGACAGACGATTGCGCCCCCCCTCTCTCTCCCCCTCGGATGAGATAGGCCGATGTCTGGGCTATCAGGGGCGGGAGGGCTCGAAGGCCTATTGCAGTGACGGGGCCAGATAATAGATGATGAACAAGAGGCGGCCTGGTATCTGAAGGGAGAAAATAAAAGAGATCCGTGTCCATTGTTCGTCCCAGGTGTGTTGGAACCTTTCGAAACCTCCCGCTGCCCCCCCATCACGACCATTATTCAATATCCCTCCCAATCGAACCTTTGTCAATCGACACTCAAGAGACACACTCCGTCGAAGGAAGCAGAACCGCCGCCATGCCTGAGGCCTACTATGCCCACCCGGACTACGGCTACCCCCGTGACTTCAAGGGGTACGGCGAGAAGGGCATCGCGTGCCCGTGGCCCAACGACGCCAAGATTGCCGTCTCCTTCGTCATCAACTATGAAGAGGTAGCGTTTCCGCCAGGACCTCGGGCCCCCCCCGGCAGACCAGAGTCTTGACTGACCTCATCACAACAAAAACAGGGCGGCGAGCGTTCGGTGCTCACGGGCGACGGCGAGTCGGAGACGGCGCTGCGCGAGAACCCGATGGGTCCGGCCAAGTACAACGAGCGCAACTACAACGTCGAGTCCGAGTACGAGTACGGGTCGCGGGCGGGCTTCTGGCGGCTCTTCCGGCTCTTCAACGCGCGGCGGATGAAGTTCACGCTCTACGCGGTGGCGCAGGCGGTGGAGCAGCAGCCCGAGGTGGCGGCGCGGTGCGTCGAGGAAGGGCACGACGTGGCGTCGCACGCGTACCGGTGGATCGACTACCACGACGTGCCGGTCGAGCGGGAGAAGGAGTACATCCGCAGGTGCGTGGCGTCGCTCAAGTCGCTGACGGGGTACGCGCCGCGCGGGTGGTACTACGGGCGCAACTCGCCGCACTCGCGCACGCTCGTGCCGCAGGTGTACGAGGAGCTCGGCGAGGAGCTCGTCTGGGCGAGCGACACGTACGCCGACGACGTGCCCTACTGGATCGACCTGCCGCTCGAGCGCGGCCGCCCGGACCCCAAGGGGTGCCTGATGGTGCCGTACAGCTACGACTGCAACGACTTCAAGTTCCACACGGCCGGCTCCGGCTTCCGCGACCCCATGGGCTTCTACGCCCACCTCAAGAACGCCTTCGACGTGCTCTACGAGGAGGGGCAGGAGGGCGTGCCCAAGATGATGACCGTCGGCCTGCACTGCCGCATCGTCGGCCGCCCGGGCCGCCTCGGCGCCCTGCGCGACTTTGTCGACTACATTGCCGAGAAGGAGGGCGTCTGGGTCGCCACGAGGACCGAGATCGCCGAGGCCTTCAAGGCCAAGTACCCGTACAAGAAGGGGCAGCTGGCGTGATGGGGTCTAAGTCGTAGTTGTAGTTGTCATTATTCGTGATAGCGTGGCAGTATATTTTTGTATCTATGTTTCATGATGAATAGTCCTTATACGCAAAACTCGGTGTTTCTCTCTTACTTCTTATTCGCCTCCCATGTGTGACGTTAAGAAAGAGAATCTGCTATCGGGTTGAGTAGTAGGCTTGCTTGTAGGGTAGGTAGGTAAGGTAGTACATGGAACTGGGTTTCCGTCTCATCGTGGACCCCTGCGCCCCTGCAGCGGAATGCCATGTTTATCTACTATGTATGGGGGTGTGTGTATGCATCGCTCAATACAAGAAAAACAGAGAAGACTTCCCTTGACCAACGTGAAAAAGCGCAAAAGAGCAAAAGAAGATGTGATCAGTGGGAGGCTTGAACTCCCGGCCTTGGCATTACACAACATTTCGGTTGAAATATTAGTACCACGCTCTAACCAACTGAGCTAACCGACCCGCGTTCGATTACTAATCGGCTGTTGTCTGCAGTGCTACTTCTCAGCAACTATGTATCAAAATTACAACCTCCAAACTCGACAACCGTGATTCATCCCCCGTCGTTCCTAAGCACAAGTAACATACAGACTTACACGCACATCCCCGCCAGCTCACCGCAGCCCCGCCAGCTCACCGCAGCCCCTCCAGCCCGCCAAAGTCCCAGTCCGAATCCATCGCGTCGGGAACGCCGTCCTGGCCCAAGTCGTGGTGCGTGAACACGGCGTCCTGCGCGAGCACGTCCCAGCCCCCGACTTGCTGCGGCGCCGCCGCCTGCTGCCCCGACGGCGCGAGGTCGCTCTGCACCATCTCGTTGAACATCCTCCACCCCTGCCACCCGCCCGGCGCCTCCTCGTCCACCTCCATGAACGCCTCCTTGACCGCGTCCGAGATGGCGTCCCCCGCGGCGCACCTCTCCTCGGTCCCGCCCTGGCGTCTCCCCCCGCCGCCGCCGCCCCCCAACGACGCGGTCGCCGCCGCCGCAGCAGGGGGTGCCGCGGGGGATCCGACGGGCTCCGCGGCAAAGTCGACCTTGAGCGGCCTCGGGCCCGGCGGCGCGGCGGACTCGGCCCGCGGGTCGACGATGGTCTTGAACAGGCTCCCGGAGAGGGCGTCGAAGATGTCGCGGTACTTGACGGCGCCGGGCCACTTCTCGCCAAAGATGGTGAGGGACTGCGAGCACGCCCGGGTCGTCTCGAGCGCGTCGTACGAGAAGAGGGCCCGGTCCCTCCACAGGCAGTACACCAGCGTCAGGCCCGCGATGAAGCACGAGTGGAGCGCCGTCATGGTGTAGCTCAGCGTCTTCTGCTGGTTCAGCCGCTTGTACGCCGTGCACACGCACGCGGCCGAGCGTGCCGTCGCGACGAACCTCGCGTCCGACGTGCTGACCGTCGGCAGGAGGACGGTGAACAGCGACAGGATCGACTTGTGGTACTGCCTGCGTCTCCTGGGTCAGCGCATGTTCGAACGGCTATTTTCCACGCAAACGTTCGGCCCCGACCACGTACAGGTTGAAAAAGTCCCTCGAGTCGTGGTAAGCGCTCTCCGGGTCGTACATCCACGTGATGCCCGCGGCGTCCTTGGGCGGGTGGGGGATCGTTCGCGCCCACTCGTCGAGCTCGGCCCGGATGGCGGCCATCTTCGCATCGAGCTTGGACCTCTCCTCCGGCGAGCTTGCGAACACGTCCCTGTCGACGCGGTACACGCGCCGGTGGATCCTCGACTGAATCCTCCGCAGCTTGATGATATGGATGAAGGGCTCCACGTTCGACCACAAGGGCTTCTGCCCAGCCGGGGGGGTTCCCAGAGCGGTAAGGTCCCAGAACTTGGTGCTGTCGCTTGGAAGCTGTCGGATCATATTAGAACCCCCTATTGACCACCCTCCATTTCTCGGCCCATCGGGGAACCCACCTCAGCATTGATGTCCCTGTCGGCGATTGCAAAGGTCCGTCCGAGAACCACGCTGGTCATGCGGTCCAGACAATAACACGACCAGAAGGCTCGTCTCCTGATCTCGAGATCTCGTGGGCTGTGAGACGACGCGGTCGTTTGCTTCCTGTGGAGGCCCAGCTCGATGCAGAGCGTCACGGCGTATCGTATCTGAGACCACGCGCCAGCGCCGTACGGGCTCCGCGTGCCGTGGACGGCCAGGAGGAGGAGGAACTGGACGGTGGCGAGGTTGTGCTGCTCAAGTATGTAGTCCATTGGTTCGATGGCGGCCATGAGGTGTTGCTGCACGCATACGTCAGTCTGTCCTCTCCAAATGTCTTCTGTCCTCTCCAAATGTCTCGGCTCATGCCCGACTCACCTGCGGGTCCACGTCGCACGCCTTCTTCATAAGCTGGAGGAACCTCGCCGAGATGGCGTATACCAGGTGCATGATGCTTCTGTGCTGTATCGACAGCGCGCCCTGGTCGTACTGCTGCTGGAATAGCGTCGTGTACAGCTTCCGGTCCAAGATGGGCCACCGCGTGTGGAGGCGGTCAAAGAAGACGTCCAACAGCATCTTGGACTCGGAAGGATACGGAAACTCCGACATGGGCTCCTCGGAATGCGATGACGCCGACACCGAATTTCTCGACCGCGGCGGGCTCAGTACGCCGGCTGCCGGCGCCGCCGCCGCCGCCATCGCATCAGACAGGGCCGCCCTGCCGCCGGCTCCGTGAAAGATGGAGGACTGGATCATCCGTGCAATGGTCGCGCCGGAGCTCGATCCGAGATAGAACGGCTCCGGGGCGGTGTCCGTAGTGCCGGACGCGCAGAGGGACAAGTACGCGACACCGTCGACCAGGGATGCGGGCTCGTCTTCGGAGCACGAGTCCCGCGATTCCCGCCGGGGGGCCTTTGCTTCCTGGGCCGGTGGCGGCGGCGGCGGCGGCGGCGGCGGCGGCGGCGTGGCAGCCGAGGTTGATGCGAAGTGGTCCTCGGCATAGTCCGGCATACGTGCTTCCAGGAACGCAATCCTCTCTTCAAGGGCGCTGATGTATCTTGACTCGGCATGAGCATGACGAACGTCACGAAGTGGCACGCATGTTTCGACCGGCTTACAGTGACTTCCCACCGGGGTAATGGGGTCTTAGGGCCCGCTCGTAGACGCATTCAGAGTTAGCCTTCCGGCAAGAGTTGCAGCTTGGATGGGCGCCGTCGCACTACCAACGTTAGTTTGACGTGCGTACAGCCCACGCCCGTCAGGGGATCTGCGTACTCGCTGCTTTCTTCGCTTGCACCGCTTACACGCCAACGCGACCCGCTGCTTGCGGTTTGGTGGCGGATGGCTTCCGGCCGTAGGACCAGTCCCGGGGCTTACGGGGCTCTCCCGATGAGAAACCGACGTGGGGGCGGCCGGTCTGCTTGGAGACACCTCATCAAACATGCTTTCGGTCTGGAATTGTACGGACATCGGGGGCCGGGTACGGTGAGTCTAGACACTTGATCGTGATGGATAGAAAGCAGAGCAGGAAGAATTCGAGCCGACCAAGTCCATGGGGGGCGAGAGAGAGCGAGAGAGAGAGAGAGAGACAGGCAGGGATCGTCCGCATCTGGCTCCAAAGGGCATGTAGCTGTGGACATGGGGTAATACGGACGGCCCCCATCTCCACAGATAGCGCGTGGTACCTTGGCTTGGAAGAAGTCTCTAGCTCAGATGTTTGACCCAGATCTTTGGTAATGTGCGGCGCAGGTCTATACATTCTCACAGATCCGTCATGTCTCTCTGATCGAAGGTGAACATCTCAGCCTTTCAAAGTCACGTTGAGGCCCGGTGGCATGGTGGTCCAGGACAGCAAAAAACGAAGTGCATCAGCCGTTCGCTTCTGATGGTCAGTCAAACCGTAAACACCCAGCCACTTCAATCTTGGGTCAGACGCCAATGTCGGTAGTTTCTTACCGACGACGTAGTGATTACCTACTTGGGATACCCGGGCGTTCATCATGCAGATAAGACCAGACAAAGGCCGGGAGGGAGGCAATGTTATCTCAGTGGAGCACCGGAGGGGCCCATCCACCCCGGTCCATCATCTAAGCGCCAAGTACTGCTCCGCATACGCCATGGGCCTTATCGTCCCGCTGCGGGCCAACCGTTCGCGTGGCGTTGCGGCAGTATCGGTTGGAAAGACGCCGATGAGTGTGTGTGTGTGTGTGTGTGGAGAGAGAGAACAGCAGGGGGGGGAGAGGTTGTCATGGAGCTGTCACCCAAGCCGCGGAGCTGCCCATATGATATCAGTGGTGATGACCGGCTTCGATGGTTGAAAGAGAAGTGATGCCGCCGGTTTCCATTGTCCTCTTGTGTGTGAGTGTGAGAAATACGCTTGTTTGCTTCCAGACTCGCTGAAAAAGGGACAATACAAAGAACCCGCCGGCTCGCCAGAAACAATGGCGCGCATCCGTATGCCTTCCAAGGCCGAGATGGCGGCTCCGTTCCAGTCCAGAGAGGCCTTCGCGGAATGGGTCAAGGCCCCCGAGGCGCTCGACGGACGAGCCCGGATCGGCGACGCGAGATGGTCCAACAAAGATCTCGAGCCGACGCCGCCGGAGCAGAGGACCTGGACATGGTACAATCTGCCGCTGTACTGGTTTTCCAACATGTTTGGGACGACCGGGTGGAACGTCGCATCCTCGCTGATTGCAGTTGGTCTGGTACGGTTTTTCAGCGTCATCGTCATGACACACACCCAAAACGGCTCGACTGCTGACGGTGGTAGTAGACCTGGCAGCAGGCCCTCGTGTCGTGCGTGCTCGGCACGCTCATCTCTGCCGTCGTCGTGACTTTGATGGCGAGGCCTGGTGCCATGTACCACGTCGGATAGTAGGTCGGACCTTTGTTTGACGAACACGGTCGTATACCGTTGCTAACACCTTCTCGTTCCCAGTCCGGTCCTGGCGCGTTCGGTGATGGGAATGTACGGCTCCTACTTCTTCGTCTTCATCCGGGCGGTGGTTTGCATCATCTGGTACGGGATCCAGACGTACTACGGCGCAAACTTGCTGTCCGTGTGCTTCCGCTGCATCTTTGGAAACAGCTGGAACCACTGGGCCAACGCGCTTCCCGCCGGCGCCGACGTCACATCGAAGCAGCTGCTGGCCTTCTTCCTCCTTTGGCTGATCGAGTTCCCGTTTGTAAGCACATGCCCGTTCCCCCGTTCCTTGGAGCAAACCGAGAGCTCACGCCTGCGGCCTTCATCAGACCTGGGTTCACCCCACCCATATCCACTACATCTTCACCGTCAAGGGCTTCGTCATGCCGTTCGCCTGCTTCGGCCTGTTTGGATGGTGCATGGCTTACGGCACCGGCGTCTCGAACCTCAGCGCGGCCTCTGAGGCCGGGGCCGAGGCTGCCGCAGCGACGCCGACCGGATGGGCGATAATGGGCGGCATCAACGTCATCATGGGGTCCCTGTCGCCCATGCTGGTCAACCAGCCCGACCTCGCGCGGTACTGCAAGAAGCCCCGGGACGCCGGCTGGCTCCAGGGGGTGTCCGTCTCCTTCGCCCAGATCCTCGTCTTCTTCCTCGGCCTGGCGTCGACGACCTCTCTGCAGGGAGCCTGGGGCGTCGCTTACTGGAACCTGTGGGACATGCTGAACGCCATCCTCGACCACTACTGGACCCCTGCCGCCCGCGCCGGCGTCTTCTTCGTGGCCCTCTGCTTCATCCTCAGCGTGCTGGCGGTCAACTTTGGCGCCAACTCGATCCCCTTCGGCGCCGACATGACTGGCCTGTTCCCCAAGTACCTGACGATCCGCCGAGGGCAAATCGTGTGCGCCATTCTCGGGATCGCAGTGCTGCCGTGGAAGCTGATCGCCAACGCCGCCGCCTTCTTGTCGTTCCTGGGGAGTTACAACATCTTCATGGCCCCTCTCTGCGCTGTAAGGAGGCTGATCCCGTCAATGCCGCGGGGCTTGCGCTGACTTGTGTTTTTTTTTTTTTTTCATATAGATCATCATATGCGATTACGCGATTGCTCGCAAAGGCAACATCCACGTGCCTTCGTTGTACAACGGCTCGAAGGGCGGCCTGTACTGGTTCAAGTCCGGCGTCAACTGGGCTGGCGTGTTTGCCTGGATCGGTGGCACCGTCATGGGCTTGCCCGGTCTCGTCGGAGAGTACCAGCCGCAGATCGTTTCTCAGCCCGCCAAGTACATGTACATGATGGGCTGGGTATTGACGTTCTGCTCGTCGGCGATCATATACACAGTCCTCGTCCATATCTTCAAGACCAGGGTCTACCCGCCGGGGTTTGAGAGCATGCCGATGGAGTACGAGTGGCTGGCAAAAGAGGGACGAGATGGCTTCTTCGAGGGCGAGAGAGATGACGCCATCTACGCGCCGCCGTCCCCGCGAGTCACGGGCGGAGAGGAGGTGCATATGGTGGAGAAAGGGCAGAAGGTGGAAGCCTGAGAGAGGCGCGGTGGGAGTCGAGAGAGTGTGGCTCCATCTTGGAAGGGTTCTGTGGCTGAGTGAATTTGTTGATTATACCAGGATGAGAGATTCGAAATCCGTAATGATGAACATGTTGTGAATATTCCCCATATCTCCATGTTCAAGCTCAGCCGGCTCTCGTCGCCGCCTTTCAGAGTCTCCGTGACCGCAATGCTGTTGAGTCCTCTCTCAAGGTCGCATAGATACATGATGATAGTCCAACACCGCTAAGTGTCATGCGCAATACTCAGCACTCGGCATAATGGAAGCTCCCTAGACAGAAACACAGTATTATGGAGTCCCGTAATTAAACCTCCTAGCCGAGGCAAGACGAGACAGTGACACCTTGCGTGATTCGGTGGACCCCTCCCCCCCCTTCTCGGCTTATCGTACCCCAAAAGGCCGGCCATCTTGATCTGCACCAAGAAGGGGGGGAGGGACACTCGGCTCGTTCGGCGCAAAGTTCCCGACAGGTTCGCGATGACCACCCCTGAGGCAAAGGGGGTAGTCGACTGCGGGCAAAAGACGACGAGCCAGCCGGTGGGTCTCTGCAGGAAGGACGGACGATAACGGCCTGCGGGGTTTGTTGGAGTAGCTCCAATGACCCCGATTGCCGCCCCGTTGGAGGCGCCGGCATCGCCTTTTCGAATGGCCGAGTCGTGTGCACCCTCTCCCTCTCCACGATATCGGTCGAACTCTCTCCTGAACAGGCAGAGAGTGGCAGATGACGTTGTCTTGTTGCATTTGTGTGTGTGTGTGTGTCCGGACCGGGTTCTTTTTGCCGGGTTCATATTGGGGTTTCGGAAGCACATACGGATACACACACGGACCAAAGCGACCCTGGCATTCATCCATCTCAACATCCCTCCCAACGTCCCTGGTCGGTTCTGTTTAGCCGTCGCAGACCGGAGTCGCAGCTTTGTCTCGTCAATCTGAACTGTTACTCAACCGCGAGAAAAGGAAATAGAACAACCCAAGACAATATCGCATAGCTTCGGGAGTCCAGCAACAATCAGTCCGTTCACAATGTCGACGGAACCATACAGGTTGTCAGCCACACAGGCGTCGGCCAAGATTCGGGCCGGGGACCTGACCGTCGAGGAATACGCGCGCTCGCTGCTCTCGCGTATCGAACAGAGGGACCCCGTCGTGAAGGCGTGGGAGTACATCAACCCTGACCAGGTCATCGCGCGGGCCAGGGAGCTCGATGCGATACCGCCCGAGAAGCGCGGCCCTCTGCACGGCGTCGCCGTTGCTGTCAAGGACGTCATCTACACCAAGGGTCAGTGGGCGGCCACTCTTCGCGATGCGCCCGGCACGCCGCTCACGTCGTCACAGATATGCCCACCCAGCACGGCTCGCCGATATACGCCGGAGACGCGCCAAAGGTCGACGCCGGATCCATCATCGTGTTGCGACAAGCCGGCGCCTTGATCCTTGGTATGTTCGGTGCTGAGAATATAGACAAAGAGAAGAAGGGAGGCTTCTGACGCTCGACAGGCAAGACGACGACGACCGAGTTTGCTGCGACCGTCCGAGGCCCGAAGACGGTCAACCCGCACGACACGAGCCGGACGCCTGGCGGTTCATCGTCGGGCTCGGGCGCCGCCGTCGGAGACTTCCAGGCCCCGATCGCGTTAGGCACGCAAACGGGTGGGAGCACGATCCGGCCCGGGTCGTTCAACGGCATCTATGCGCTGAAGCCGACGTGGAACTCCATCAGCCGGGAGGGCCAGAAGATCTACTCGCTCATCCTGGACACGCTGGGCTTCTTTGCCCGTAGCGTCGAGGACCTGCAGCTGATGGCTGATGTGTTCGACCTGCAGGACGACGAGGCTCCCAAGCCCGACTTCTCCGTGAAAGGCGCCAAATTCGCGCTTATCAAGACCATGGTGTGGCCGCAGGCGGGACCTGGGACGCAGTCGGCCATCGCGAAGGCGACGGAGCTTCTGAGGAAGCACGGGGCCGAGGTCGACGAGGTTGACTTCGCGCCGGACCTCCGGGACCTTCCCGCATGGCACGGCACGGTGCTGCACAGCGACGGGCGCCCGAGTTTCCTTCCGGACTACCGCGCGGCCAAGGACCAGCTCGACGAGTTTCTGGCCTCTCACGTCGACAACACGAACAAGATTTCCAGGGCGGCGCAGCTGGAGGCGTTCGACAACATTGCCATGGCGCGGCCAAGGGTCGACAAGATGCTGGGCGAGTACGACGCCGTGCTGGTGCCGAGCGTCGTCGACGAGGCGCCCGTGGGCACCGCCAGCACCGGGAGCGCGGCCTTCAATGGGCTCTGGACGGTAGGTCGACGTCTTGCAAGCGTCTCGTCTCGATATGTCACTGACAAGCCTCCCAGGCGCTTCACGTTCCCGTCGTCAACATCCCGGGCTTCAAGGGTCCGAACGGGATGCCGGTGGGGGTCTCGCTTGTGGCGCCCCGATACCACGACCGTCACCTTTTGACCGTGTCCAAGGCGGTTGGTGAAATATTCGAGGCCGAAGGCGGATGGAAGTCGGCATTGTAGACTACAAGACGGGTTGCTGGGCCGCTATACTCGATGAATGGACAGAATGACAGCATTGAATGGGTCGAAGCCAGGGCGACATCTTGCCCACGAACGAATGGGTGGGAGCGTAGTGTTTAAGAAAGAACCTGCTCGCTTGGAGAATTTGGACGAAGATGAAGAATGAAACAGGTGAATGGAGTAAATAAACAACAACAAACTGGCAAAGGTACCGACTGCAAAGACTTTCCCGGGCATCCTCCTCATATACCTAAATTAGCCCTTGCAAACCCCCAGTCTCACTGGTGAGCCGCCTTCCCCCAGTCCTTGACCTTCTTTCTTATCCCGCGTCCCATTCTTCTCCCCTCAAGAGGTAGGCTCCGTAGAGTCCACTTCCTGACTAGGTGAATCGAACACCGACATCAGCGCATCCCCGGCTGTGCTACCGCCCATCGCATTTCCGCCCTTGACACTTCGAGAGAATCCCAGTTTCAAGGAAGCGAACTTCTTCCCAACCTTTCCGGTCAGGTCGGCCAAACTCTTCTTTTTCTTGACCGAGACAGTCATGTCTGGGTTTTTAGGCAGCTGGAGACTAATCTTCCTCAAGCCTTGAGAAAACTTCTCCTTCCCGCGTACCGTCAGGTTGTGTCCGTACTAGGAACCACGTCTCTGGTCGGTAGGCTGGGTTTTACCGCTCTGACTAGCGTCGATGTCCGCATTGGGGTCATCGTTACTGTTCCTGGGTGTTTGACTCCCCGACGGAGAGTTGTTAACTCTCGGGTCGGACTGGCCGCGGTTGTGCGAAACATCCTTGGGCTCTTGATGACTGTCGACAACTGTTTCACCCCCCGACTCAGCTACGTTGTCAGCCTCGTCGTCGCTGTCGAAGGGGTTGTCTGGATAGATGGCGGGATCAGCGCCGCCGGCCAGGCGCCACATTCTCAAGACATCCCACTGGAGGAGCAGGATATCGTAGTCGGGTAATGTATCAATATCTTCTGCCGTGATAGTGAAAGTCTGACCACTCTCGACCGGTCGCCAGGTCGTCAGGTTGACAGCTGCCACAGGACGCTCGGGATCCGGATCCTTAAGCATAGTAAGCGGGTCTTTACGAAAGTCCACTGGCGTATCGAGACGCTGGATGTCTGTCTTTCTCAACCAATGAAAGCGTAGTCGAATAGACCATTTCCCTTGTAGCTTTTGCTTCTTGGAACATCCGGCTGAGGTCTCGCTGGAATCGGACGACCACTCAGGCTCTCCCATTGGCTCCAAGGCAAAAAAGCCTCTTCCCCACCAATCGTGTAGCTGTGGGTTCAAGGAAATCATGTTCCTGACGGTGTCAACAAGGTTGACGTTGTCGCTGGCCCCAAAAGCATAACGTCCGGTCAGCTTCGCGCGGAGTTGGCGGACCCGATGCTCGCCCCACAAGATCGCCATGGCACCCAGGTGCGCATTCGTGTCAAGCCGACGCTTCAGAGAGGCGAACGGAAAGATGTGGCAAACGTCTGGGTGAGGTGCGCCTGTGATGACACACCTTTCGTTATCGCGTCTCAGAGCCTGTGGATACGTCCATGTTAGCAAAGACGGAATGAAAGTGATAGTAAAATCCAGTGCTTACGGATGTTGACTGCGATGAGTCTCGTTTGTATATGGTCTTGTCCTCAGTACCGTCCTTGGGGGCGGTCAAGCCACGAACTGCAGAAATGTCAGTTTGGTTTGAAGCTTCAAGCCATCTGATGAGCTTGATCTAAAGCCATCGGATGAGCTTGATCTAAAGCCATGGGACAAGGAGCAAGGGGGATTACAAGTCTTGAGGAGTGACGGAAAGTAGTTGCTGAACATGTTCAGCGAACCGTGTGTTTCGAACGGTTCGTTGGGATCGCGCAACTTGCCAAGCAGATTCTCCAAGTTGCTTGCCGAGGTGTTCCAGAGTCCTGTCCAGAGAGAGGCTGAGACCTGACCTGTGACTTCGGGATACAGGGCGATGAACGCATCGTACACTTGGGGGATCAGACGCATCTTGGCATCATATTCATCCAGGTAATCGGACCGTCCTGGACTCGTCGAGCATATCTTTTGCGAGCGCAGAAAGTCTCGCAGCTTCGACTCGTCGTATGCCGTGGGGTTGTGTTTCGTTTCCCCGTCGTCAGTGTAGAACTCCCGGAGGAGGTCCTGCATTTGGCGGGTTTCGGCCGTCAGGGCTTGGCCTCCTGGGAGGAATGAGGATGAAGAAGCGGACATATTCAAGTTGCACGGAGCGTCGTCTAGTGTTGCGACGAACTCGTGTGGCGATTCGATGAAGGGACAGAGAGTGAGTGTGACTGAGGGAGGACAGAAGAAGAGAAAGCAGCTCTCGGTGATGGGATGAGGAAGAAGATAGCTCAGACTGTGACCGGAGAAGAAAAGTCGGTTTTTATCTGAAGATGAGACGAGGGAAGAGAGGAAGGTTAGGGAAGTTGCTGGAGGAGGAGGCACCTACCCAGGCAGGCAAGAACCTTCGAGGAAACTGTTGGTTGACTACGTACCTGCCCCTGCAGGTACATACCCAGCGAGGTACCTGTAGATGGGGCAGCCACGCGGGAGGTGGAGCAGTTTCCCACGTGACCCACCGCACCCGTGTTCAAAGAATCTCTCCAAGGGAGGTACGTACCCAAGCAAGGATATGATACCAAGCAGCACATCACTCACTCGTCAACGACCAGCAAACGAACAATGCCGCTTAGCCTCCGTTTGTCACTCTTTTACTGCATAAAACCCTACTGCTAGATTTATTACACTTTCATGTAATTTTCAAAGGTGCCAAAGAGCTTTGGAGGGGGGGGCTCTGTTTGTGACTTACCTCTAATGCATTATCTTTGTCCCCTAAGGCATGTATCGAACCTTGACAAGTGAGCTAGCTTCCTAAATATACATACCCATATGATACGACGGACCTTGTAAGATGCAAGAAAAAGACCACCTTGTACGCGTAGGTACCTTGGTAAGACGCAACACGGCTTGGTTGGAACCAGTCCCCAATGAGTCATCAAGAAGAGAGAGTCTGGGAGAAGAAGAAGGAGAGGGTTACGTATGCTAGGTATCTATGCACCTTTGTAATTTTGCAATCTATCCCTTCGACGCTTTGTGTTCTTGTGCCAGTCTGCTCTTCTGTGTTAGCACTGATGAAGCGTCTTCTTCTTCTCCTTCTCCTTTTATTTCTCCATCTTTGCTTCCTCTAATCATCGGGGTAGGTGACGGGATTCCAACCCAGCAAATTGATGCAGATTCCTTCTCACTCTGTCCCATACTCTTCTTCAACCACGGCGAGCCTCTACCGGCCTCCACTCGCCATGGAAGCCGAAACGAGCCAGTCCACAATGCTGTGAAGAAGCAGTGCTGTTGAAAAGGAATGTATCATTATCGTGTAGTAGAAGGGGCATGGTATCTATCTAGAACATGTAACCGACCCGCTCGTTTCAAGACTTTTCCCATATCCGCATTATACGAGCGTCGCAGCATACACGCACCACAGCGCCATTGTTTATCATCAGCTCTTCAACTTCATCTTGTCCTTTTGGTCGCTCGCAAACCTCGCAAACAAAGAAAAAACAAGACTCTAGGCCCACTTGCCCAGCACGCTCATGATGACCATGCCGGCGACGAGACCGAGACCGGCGAGGAACGTGACGACCGGCCCGGTGCGGAGGAGTTCCGCGTCGTTGTGCATCCAGTCCTCGGCCCACATCTCGACGACGCCGACCCAGACGAGGATGCCGGCGGAAAGCGCGTCAAGGGTTCCGATAGCGAGGATCGTGTCGCGGTCGTTCCCATTGAAGTGCTGCAAGACGCCGATGCCGATGGCCATGCCGATGGGGGTGACGAGGGCGAAGGGCGTGGCAATGAGGATCTTCTTGACGAGGGAGAAGTCGGGCGCCTTGAGAGAGTTGAGGCTATAGGGAACCGACGTCTGTTCGACCTCGACGGTCGTTGGGCTCGCGGCCTTCTCAGTCGGGGCCAGCCGGCCTAGCTGGGCGATGCGGGTTCCCAGGGCGATGCCCTCGAACATCTGGTGGAAGAGGATGACGACGAAGAGGGTTAGGAAGAAGGTGTCGCCGGCGACAACGAGGGTGATTCCGATCACTGAAAGATGTGTTTGTCAGCGTGCAACGCCACAAAAAGAGAAAAGAAAAAAAAGAAAAAAGCCACATGTAGGAGGCGACTTACGGATGGAGTGGAAGATGATGCCGCACTCAAGGACCAGGACGGTCACGGTCTCGGGCGAGAAGCGGCTCGCGGCGCTTGGGTTGCCGGCCATCTTCTTCGTGACGATGCGCTTGCCGACGTACTCGGCCAAGAAGGACAAGAAGATGCCCGCCATGACGATGGCCGACGTCGTGGCCTCGTATTCGAGGACGCCCAGGCATTCGTTGCCAAACATAAGCTGGGCGTGGGTGTACAGATGGACGAACGCGGTGGAGATGATGATTCCGGTGCCGAACTGCTTGAGGATGAGGAAGATGGTGTGCGTCTTGGTGGGCATCCACTTGATCATGAAGATGGGGAAGTAGACGCCGAACGCGCTGGTAACGAGAATGACGAAAATGAGACCGATACGCAGCGGGATGTCGTACTCGCGGTCAACCTTTGCGCAGTTGCGCGTGCCGCTACCGGCGCTCTCGCTCTCGCCAGCGCCAACGCAGTGCTCGACACCGGCGTGGAAGTGGCAGTTCTCGCCAAGGGGCTGCTCGCCCTCGGCCACAATCTCAACGTCGTCGCCGTTGGGGGCGATGCAGAACGTTTCTGCGCCGTGGGCGTGGCAGTCGGTGAAGGCCGTCGGGATAGCGGAGGCGGCGGTGTTGGTTGGTGTGGTCATGACCTGGTACTCTGAAGTACCCCACATGCAGAATCTGAGACGGATCCGTCAGTTGCGGCTCTCGGGGTCCCACGGCAAAGGTGGACTTACACAGTGACGCCATGGAGATGGCATTCGGAGACGGCGGTGGGAGCGCCGGTGACAGTGGCAGCGGCAGCGGCAGCAGTTGTCGAGGCGGCTATGGACGCCGCAGCGCTGGCGGGCTCAACTTGCACCTCTCCATCGTCGTAGAAGCAGTACCTGACGTAAAATCATGAGCAAGGTGACAGCTAGCACTATAGCAGAAGGGGACATACAGGTCAGTGGCATGCTTGTGGCATCCCGTGTAGGAGCTGGGCAGCGCGCCGGTAGGAGTAGAAACGATCCTGAACTCGGTGGTTTCGGCCTTGCAAACCCTGTGCTGCGTGTGAGCGGCAGAGTGACGATATATACCGTCCGTGTGTGCAGGACAACAACGGGTTCCCAAGCAGGGCGCTACTCACTGGGTGGACGAGGACACGGAGCACTGTGAGATGGCTGTAGGATCAGCGCCTGCAGCGGCAGTGGTGCTGGCAGTCGTCTGCCGTGCAACGAGGGAGCCGTACGCGGTGCTCAGAAGAGCCGCGAAGGCGGCAGCAGCCGTGAGCCTGGCCATTGCGAGGTGTGGTCTCGGCAGGGCCGTCGGGAGTGCGGTTGACAAGAAGCGAATTTGGACCTTGTGTGCTGAGATGAAGCTGACAGGGCTGGTTTGCGCCGCGGGTTGTCCAGGACAGGATGCTGCTTCTGCAATTCCTCGAAGCTGCTTACTGGATGGTGCTCGGCCGGCTGTTTTATGAGAGAGAGTTCGGGGTAGAGGCGGCTAGGGCGAGGCTGGAACGACTTGGATAGGTGGTGGACGCGAGCACCTTGAGAAAAGACGAGCCGGATGTCGGGGGAAAACGCCGAGTTGGCCAACCTTGACGGAGAGAGGGGCCGGTCAGAGGGTGGGGGGGATAGTGCAGCGAGAAAAGTTCTAAAGAGGGAATAATAAGATGATAGGAAGGGTAAGGGTAAACGCTTGAAAGAAGGGAGGTTGGAGGTCGAGGAACAGGGCGATGGTCAGGTGCGGCGGATGGCGAACCCTTGGAGTGAGTTGTCAGATGGATGTATCTCACTCTTCTCTCTCCGTGTACTTCTGAGGAGATAGATGGCGCTGACAGTCGATATTACCCTTGCCTCTGCCCCCATCTCGCGTGATTTTCTTCCTTCGTCCTTCTTTCCTTACGCAACGTGGAAGTGTCTCCGAGCCATGCTTGCTAGGGTTCTTCTGTCGTCTCCACGACCGAGGCTTGGCTGCTCCGATAGTCTTGGAAACAGGCCGTGATTGCTGGCCTTGGCGATTCCATTCTCTCACCCGATAATCGACACGGCACGCCCTGGTTGCCGGGAAAAGGAAACGAGGAATCGAGGAGGGTCAAGCGCAACGGCGTAGCGAGGGGTGACGGTCGTTGGTCGTGTGGGAAACGCGCGGAACATCAGGATCGTGGGTGTATGTCTGCCTGCCTGTCTGTCTCAACTGTACATACGGATAGAGAAGAGAACGAGGCTAGAGGCGGAAAAGCGAGAAGCGTAATATGACACCGACAATCTGCCAAGGCTGAAGGACCCGTCGCCAAGGCTGAGCACCCGGATGGCCACCGGCAGGGGGGGGGGGGGAGGAAGTCGTTGTCTCCTGCCGAACTTGCTCACTAGGTGCCTAGGTAGGTAAGGCGACTAGACTACCTATACAGAAGGCGCGAAGCCAAGATGTGTATATACCTGTATCTGCACAAGGATGGCATGGACCCACATGCCTCTTTGGGCCGCGGTGTGGTACGTATCGCCCCCACTTCTAACTTAAAATAAGAACCTTGATGGCCTCGTCTTCCGCATGTCTCACTCTTACTCTCACTTTCACTCTCACTTTCATCCTCACTCTGATTCTCACTCTCACCACATCCTCACTTTCATCTCACCCTCTGACAAGGTGTGGTCTCTGTCTCTTCTCTCCGCCTCTCTCCCTCCATCTCCCTCTCTCCCTTCATCCCCCTCTCCCTCTCTATGTCTCTCGGCTCAGCCCATGTCTCCCACTCGTCCACCCGACGAACGACATCCTCCGCCTCGACTCCCCGCCAACCTTGATGGCTCACGTGTGGCAACCGCTGCACGCCAAGACAGTAGTCAACCACCGCCGACCACATCGACATGTCGAAAGCTGCCAGCTTTTTCTGACCCTTCGCCTCTGCATGACACCCTTGGCCTGCCCCCGAGTTAGCGCTGGCCGCACGAGAGTCGGGAAGAGTGAGGCATTTTCTCTCCTCCGGGCAACGGAACGAATGTGATTCTTGAGTGGTGCGTTGTGTGTGCATGGAATGTTTTGAAGGGGAGAGACACAGGCGTTCCCATGTCAGTCATCCCGCCGCCTCTCCCTGGAGTTCTCCCTCGTGCTCGCCGTGCGACGCCCATCGACCGCACACCCGGTGAAAGTGCATTACTACCCCGTAGAACCCTGGAGGTAGGCATACCTGCAAAAGATCGCCTGCGCGCGTTACCTGGCTACGTCGCAGACCGTTTGATAGCGACGGGATATGTGTCGGCGCATGGTTACATCTGCTTTTGCCGTCCCGCCCTCCAGAGCTTAACCATGCTGTCGGGTCTGTTACTGCGTCCGTGCCTTGTTGTAGTTTGCGTAGGTATGTCAAGGGCTGTTGCGTAAAGCATGGGACGAACATGAGACGGACATGGTGGAAGCGAAGCAAGCCATCGTGCATGGAAACAGTAAACGGATCAGTGGTCAGCGCCAAGCAACACACAGCCTGACACCTGGTCGGTAATATCGGTAGGCTATTATGTCTTGACGGCAAGACAATGGCCATTAATACCCAAAGGTCAACGTCAAAAGGTCCGTCTGCCAACAAGCTCCTGGTTTGTTTAATGCATTTTAATTACGTTTCCTATGCAACAATCATTACCCATCTCCCTCGGAGGGATGGGAATGAAAGCTAAAAGAAAAAGAAAAACGAAAAGGAAAAAAAAAGTACACGCCATGGGGGGCTGCAAGGATCATGAGTGTGTATCCCCTTTTTTACGATATCCCCGTTTGCCACGCCAAAAGTCACCTCCCAAGTTATGTTCATGAATCAGAATCCGCATCGTCGTAATTTGTTTTCCCCCGTCGCATGGCACACGATGCGTTTCGTTCAACGCAACTTCGACGTCTCCGCATTTTGGCCCTCTCAAAAGACAACGAGAGCGGCGACGGCAGCGACGGCGGCAGCGCCGAAGCCGGCGCGGGCCGCACCGGCCGGGAGAGCAGTCGACGTCGCAGCAGCGCCCTCGCCGCTGGCGGTGGTGGCGGCGCCGTTGGTGGTAGGCGAAGAGGTGAGAGTCGCCTCGACGGCGGTGGTGGGTGATCCGCTGGCGGCGGTGACGGGGCCCTCGCAGTGCCACTATTCCCAGAGGTTAACATCAGTCGGAAGTGTCTAGAAGAAGAAGAAGAAGAAGAAGAAGGTCTCACGTGGTCAATGTGTGCCTCGCAGCCAAAAGACTCGGTGGGAGAGGGGGCCAGAGTGTAGCTGCCTGTGCCCGAGTGGTCGTGGTCGTGGTCATCGTCATCGTGGTCGTGGTCTTTCGTAACGGTGGCGCTGGCACTGGGAGTAGACAGGAAACTGCTGGCGATCATAACGGTGGATGTTATCGCGGCAGTCGGGCGAGCACCCTCGCAGTGCTAGCAAAATCTGTTAGAACATCTCTGCAACATGATAGCTCCTCCCAAGACGCGTTGGCAATGCTCCAAGCAGGGCTTAACGGTATATCGAAGCGACGGATCCAACTAACCCAATGATCAATATGAGGCTCGCAGCCAAAAGACTCGGTGGGGGAGGGCGCCAGGCTCTCGCTCTGGGCCATGGCCAGGGTGGTGAAGCCGAAGGCGGCGAGGATCTGAGACGTCTTCATGGCGACAGTGATGGTGTTTTGTGGAAAGTGGGGGGTGGGGGGGGAGAATTCCGGGGTTTCTTCAGGCTAATGGCAGAAGCAGATGACGAATGCCAACGAATGAATGCGTTCTGCGATGTGAAAGGTGGTGGGAAGCGGTCACATAAAAGCTAGTGGTCGAGGTGAAGTGAGATTTATATGCGTGGTTGGTGTTTTTTATCCCCCCCCCGTCCAAGACACGCAACTCGCCCGGGCCAGCTGCCAAGGAGAACGGAAGACACATGAGGGTTTCCTCTTAGCACGTCTTGGCGAGGGGAAACAAGTCGTCAAAAAAAGCTGGTTGATCCGTTCGTCGTGCATGGTGAGTGTGTAGGTTCGTGTGTGTGCGTGGTTGCTTGGCCCGTTTGCCAGCCTGAATCTCGCCAAGACGAAAACCAAGTCCACTCAGAGACATGACAGGCGGTGCTCACCTTCCCTTTTCTCCCTCCTCCCAGCTTGGCATACGCAAAAAGTGCCCAGCTTGTGAGCGATCTATCAGCCAGGGATATCTGGGGAGCTCTCCGCTTCAGCCTTCACTCCAACACGTCCATCCCGACGGCCCAGTTCAGTGGTTCGATGAGGCCCCTGTTCGTCCCGTTTTGCCCAGGCGCGAAGAGGCGGGCCGGGCCATCCAGGTTCTCAGTCTCTCGGATGTCATCTTCATTTGGCCAGCCAACCACACGGCCGATGGGAAGTGATTGGTGCGAGGCTTTCATAGATCCTCTGTATCTTCAGTCTTAGTTGTGAATAATAAAGAGAACAGCAAGGCCTGCGGGGGTAGAAGAGACAAACAAAATGAGAGACCCAAGAGAAACGACGGAGATGCATACACCAGGTGCTATCAAACTCCTGACCGTGCCATGAGAGTCTTCATGTCCGGTTGACATGCGCGGAACACCCCGGCATACATAAACATCCAATGTATAATTATTGATCCAGGGTAAGATCGGACCCCAAACCGAATGGACGAGTGCCCCGTCCATGGAGAGATATTACCTCGCGCCCGACTGACCGTTCCAGCATAGGATCGTTTCCCGTTCTTGTCTCTTGTCCGTTGGGCGCTCGTCCCAGTACACATCACCCCACTGACCCCATGCCCCTCCCGTTCGAAGTCCTCGGCCCTCGTCATTGTCGGCCAAAGACGCCAGCGAGCACCGGGTTTACTGTTTGTCCTCTCCGCTCCATTGGTCGCGTCGCCGCCTTGCCTCGACGTCCCGGCGTCCGTCGTTAGGGTCAAGCGTGGGCTGCCACGGCTTATGCCGAGTCCTGGCAACACCCATAATGGTCCAGGTAGGCGCCAATATTACCAGGCCAACGGTCATAAAGTCACTTGGGTTGGCTGTTGGTAGCTGTGAAACCGTTCGTCTGTTGGTTGCCTCTTTTCACGACCGCAGCTCTCCCAGACTAGCAGCATGCGTCTCCTGTCTACAGGTTGTCTACAGGTAATAACGCTTCTTGAACTGACTATCCCTGCCTCTACTGCTTTTGCCTCTGTCCGGGCACTCTTCCATCGGCCGCACCCTCGGAGGCAAAGCCAGGAACTCGAGACTGATCCCCTTGACAGAAATGAAGAATGCGACGACATTTCCAGCTTTAACTGGTTGGGTCCGAGGGCTGAGGCCGAAGAACTCGACAGTTATAATCATCCTCGTGCTACCGGACAATAAGAAGCTCCCACGCCCGAAAGCCGGACCAATAATCGTCCTCGGTTGTTGACGAAACTGCTCACCCCATGCAAGGAAGATGTTTCATTCGATGTCAAGCGTGCAGCCGCCAGCTCAGCGAACAAACAACAACAGCCTGTCCAGGATGATCATTTGGCTTCTGTTCCAGCACAGCATCCCTAGCAACCTACTCGAGCGAGTCTGTTCTCGACCATGGTGCATGCAACCACCGCGTGGTCATCATGTTCAACAATTCATCCCCCGAGGACCTCGTCGAGGCATTTCTAATATCACCCCTCTATCCCAGGTATTATATACGATTCCATGCCACATCCCAACCTCTTGATACGGTATATGTCACGATATATAAGCTACTATTACTGCCCACGTAACTAACGGTATCGTTTTGTTACGTGACAGTATAGAATACCCTATAACGCAGAGCAACTGCCAGATCAGGCTTCACTTCAACCATGATGCGAACGGCCTTGATAATGGTGCAGTAGGTGGGCGCCAGAACGTTGGCGACAACCAGCGGTGGTGCTACTGTTGAACAATGTCGGGCAGCTACGGGGGCATGACTGACGTGCCGGCGATTATGGCATTGCTCATCTTTCTTTCTTTTTACCTTTCTCTCTCTCTCTCTCTTTCTTTCTCCCTGTCTCTCTGTCTCTCTCTCTGTCTCCGGGAGTTTCTCGTTTCTTCACTACCGCCCGCCGGCTCAACCGCGACCAAAAGGTCGCGATACCCCGGCCACTCACTCGGAAAATTCCATCATCCCCCAGCCTCACGAACAGAAGTCCCTTTTCCGACTTCGAGTACCGCAAAGCCTTCGCAGATAAGGGCGTTGCCCTGTTGGCATCCTATTCCTACGATAGGCGCAAGATTGTCTCCAGTCTTGTCCTCGTGGACGTGGCTCCCGGTACAAACGGAGCTCAGTCCATGAATAAAGGTAAGTAGGTTCCGCGTCGTTCTGTTTGTTATTCTGGTATAGGCAGCAACGGATATCGATCCGATCACTCTCGTCCATGATGACGAAGCCAAGACCGTTGTGAAGTATTCGCAGGTAATTGGATTCCTTGGGGTCACCGGGCGTGGACGCGGTCGAGAGGTTTTCTAGCTTATGAGCGCGCTCCCTCTTATCCCTATTCCTCTTCAGATCTGTTGTTCCAATGTCAGGCGTGCTTCGGCGCTTGGCGGTATCGGGGATTATTCCTCGACATCATCCTGGATGTTCGCAGTGACAGTCCCCGGTCACAGAGTTAAAAGCTTCTCGGCTGGCCTTGTCTCAAGGGTCCAGGATGATGCCTTGGCGGATTTCTGAGGTAGCGCGATGGTGAAAGAAAAAGCGGCTCCGGTCTCGCCTTCGAGGGTTATTTCCGAGCTCTCACCATCTACGGAGGCGAGCCCAGGTCATCAGAAAGATCAAGAGCCGTCGCCAGAAGTTCATCGAATTATACCGTCAAAACCCCACAGCTATTTAAGTAGTCTCTCCGCGACCAAGCCCCCCATCTGGGCGTCGAATCCCCGGGGAACAACCCCTTCAACCGCGTCATTTTCGCTATTCGGACTGCCACCCGGAGTCGCCGCGCCGTCTAGTGGGCAAACAGCGTCACAGCGAAGCAGGAGGCGTACTTGGGGCTTTTTTTCTTTTTCGGCACCCGGAGACAAACGAACGATATTGTCATCATCGAGTTCCGTGAACCGAAGTTAGTAAACTTTGTCCGTTCAATCCCAAAGCAAAGGGCGGAGCAGCTTTTCGAACTCACTCCGCCAAGACCGCTAACAGGAGACGAATCGCAAATCTGGTATCTTTTGAAGACATGTCACTCTTTCCGCGTATCTCAGCAGTGATTACTTGGATCCGTGGTCTCGGCTCCCTCCCTCGTTGCTGCCGACTGACCAATGCGGTCGACGGCCTGAACACACCTCACAGCCACCACAGTGTCAGTAACTGGTCCAACGTGCGTGGTCTGGACCGTCGTTAGCCTTTGGTAAGTGCGAAAGACCTCGCGGTCTAGCAATATGCGGACCCCCACGAGCTGTTTTCATCTTGTTTTCCGTTACACACACACACACACACGGATCAGATTACATGGATCGGTGCGAGGGAAGGGGGGGCACCCGGAACGCCATGAACAACGCCGTACAGCCTGAGTGAAGAAAATTTGGCGAAAGAAGCTTGGGAACGTACATACGGGGCTTAATTGGTTGTTTCCTGGAAAGTAAGACATGGAAAGCACCCGCGCATACCTTGCGCTGCCTGCTATCTATTTACCAAGGAATGGAAGCCAAGTTGGCGTTCGAGTTACACGAACCCCAGTCTCTTCGGGTAACCTTCCGGCAGCTGGAGACGCATATCAGCCACCAGCAGCGTTCCACTCCGCGGGCCTTTCCTCCCTCGGCCGCCCCATGTCGGACCTCTCTGTCCCGAGCTACTCTGTGAGATCCACGAGGTCTGCTATATATCGCAATCGGGAGGTTTCCTCTGCCTGGAGACGGGTTACCCAACTCTTGGGGGGAGGGGGGGGGGATAAGTCTCCATAGCCTCAACGGTGGCAAGGTCCGAGGCTTGATGAGAGACCAACGCGCAAGAATCAAGACGCGAAGCGCCAAGAAGGGGAACGACAACGCTAAGCATGACGCAGGTCCGCGAACCAAATCTTTGAAGACGCCGATGAGTCACGGGATGGATTTGAGATTCCACTCTGGAGATACTAGCTCGTCTGATTGCATCAGAAAGCTCGGCGCGTCTCAGAGGAGAAAGAAAACTGCTAAAAAAAAACTGTCATCATATCCCGCTGGTAGGGCCTCGAGACAATGACCGGCAACATCCGGGCCACAGAGAACTTCGGACCTTGCAGAGGGCCCGCAAACGTTGCGTATATCTGCCATAAGCGTGTCAGTAACTAGTCCCGGGCGCTTAGGAATGTATTCACCCGTCCCCGACTCTCGGCCCGAGACAGGCATCCAGCCGACGCAAAAGGGCTAACAAACTAGGCCAGCTGGCTTCGGAATCCCCTCCCCCCCTCGTCTTCCATTCTCGTCTCATGCTGTCATCGCTACCTTCATCGCCATCCCGTGTTTCACGTGACTTGTGCATATGCCGTCGTCTGACTTCCACATATCCATCACCTGCTCGGTTGATACACCAGGCAATACAAAGGGTATCCAGCCAGTATATCCAAAGTGGGCCCATGGCGAGGGAAACGAATGCCAGGGGCTCAAGGCGGACAAAGACTGTTCACGACCGGAGAACCACAGGCAGACGATACCGCTAGATGAACAGCGCACGTCTGAATGCCCTCGTATCGTACGACCAGGGCTGTGACACTTCGCAACGGCATTGTCATCCCTACGAGCGAGCAGCCATCGCCGCCTCCAACACCCCCTTCCTCCATCGGCGATGTCGGATCGCAGGTCTAGATCAGAATCGGACATAGCACGCATGACGCCAAAGGGACGGATTGCGACGCTGATGGGAGTGATGAGTGAAGCCCTAAGCCAATGCAGCAGAACGGCCTCCTTGTCGGCCAATCAATCTATGCCCCAACTGGGGCAAAGCCGAATGTCTGAGTTCGTGCTCGCCGACCTCACTCCTTCGCTCCTGTATCTCCAAGGCGTCTCTATCTTCATCTGCTTAGGGAGAGTGGCTTGACTAGGTGGGGGGCTATCACGAGCGGACGCCGTCGAACGGGGGGGGGGGGGATTCCGCAAAATAAGCAGTGTTCTTTGACGACCGACCGAATGCGGCGACCCGGAACCGGCCCTCAGTCAGCAGACACCTCCTCCGCCACGAAAAGGCCAACCACCATCCCCCCCCCCTCCAAGTCGTCGTCACGATCGTCCTAGTCTTGTTTTGGTATTCGCAGCATTTCGGACGGAGCTTGGATTGGAAAGGGTCGGTGGGCCTCGAACCTGAGAGGGCGGTGCGGGTGAGACATCTGGAAAAGAGGCGGGAGGGTCTCGGATTCGGTTTCGTGCCGGACGGCGCCAGCTTCGTCAACGACAAGACGATCCGAGAAGATCCAGGGGAGAAGAAGAGGGTCCGAAGGAGAGAGAGAGAGAGAGAGAGAGAGAGAAGGCGGAGGCTAGGCTAGAGTACAGGTGCCATGGCCCAAAGCGATGTATATAGCCTGCTCGCCTTTCCTTTTTGCTGGGAAAACTCAGACGTTAGATCTAGGTTCTTTTAATCATACTCACTCACAGCTGGACATAGCTTAGAACAACTTCAACTCCCAATAAGAGTTCCCTCGGACGTCTTCACGTCGGGCATACCACACCAAAGTCTCGATCCTCTACACGACGAAACCACCAAAGATGCGCTTCTCCGCCATCGTCGCCGGCCTCATCGCCACCGCCTGCACAACAGTCCTGGCCGCGCCCGCGTTCCTCCCCGTCGGCGTCGGCGTCCTCCCCTCGCAGCCGACCACCGCCGAGGACGTGACCAGGGACATGACGAACCTCGACACCAGCCTCGAGAACTTCAACAAGGCCGTCCAGGACGCCACCGCCGGCGGCACCGCCACCGACGGCGCCCTGTCCGGGGCCATCGAGTACCAGGCCATCACCCAGACGGCCCGCCTCGACTCCCAGAACATCCTCGGGCCCTTCACCCCCGACGACTCGGCCGCCGTCGTCGACAAGCTCAAGACGCTCTCCTCCGACCTGCAGGACACCAAGACGCTGCTCGCCAACGCAAAGGCCGCCGGCCTCCTCGACAGCTACCAGGGCACCGTCATCGAGCTCTACCTCGAGCTGGTCTCCAGCGACACGGCCGGCTACGTAAACACCCTGCTGTCGTACATTGACGCCACGGTCAAGGATGCCGCTACCGCCGCCGCCGGCGCCATCAACGATTCCTTGGGCGGCATTGGTGATATCCTAGCCTCCAAGTAAGGGGCGATGGTATGAGTTGCCATGTTTGACCGAGTTTTTTTTGTTTCGTGTTTGGTGAGGTTGTTGTCATGATGGGAAGAAAAGCGAAGCACCGAATGTAAAAAAGATACCTGTTTTGTTTTTCTTCTCCCCTTCTCTTTTCCCACTTGGGGAGTTTGATATGTATTCTTCTTTACAGGAGCTAGCTAATTGTATCCTGTCTATGGGACCAAACTTATCGTGATAATGTGACGCGTCACATACCTACAATGACCATAAAGCCTGGTGCCCTTCATTTCAAATGCAGCTTCCAATTAGTTGAATGTTGTGAGGTTCTTGTTTTGCAAAGATATAATCATACACGTGAGATGGAGATGGAAAGGCAATAGACGCAAGAAAACCCATTAGCCCAGGAGTTTATGGCCACCCAACCTTTTTCGTAAACTGACGTTGAGTACTTGTCTGCTATGCCTTTGTGTGACATATCAAGACTATACTGAGCCTGTTGTCATCCAAGCTATGCGCTTAACTTAAACACAAACTGCCGCACGTCTTGCGTATATCGTCCGATGATCGGAAGGTTTCAGACGAACCGATATCGTCAGGTGCCCCGTTCAGAACCTATCTTTATATATATATATATATATATATGCTAACACTACAAATCGTACTTACGCTCGCTGTCTCTCGCGTCTTGGTATGCAGCTGTTGTCTTTGTGTCTTTGTTTCTTAGTCTTGCTTTCATCGTAGTGGCCTCCTCCATCATTCACGAGTACAAGGGGGGAGAGAGCCCGCGCGGATAGAGACGAGTAAACATGAGAACGGTCGCGACAAAGGCCCGGGGCGAACAAACATGTCGCCGTCACCGTCACACACACAATCTCGTAGCCGCAGGATGCCTCTAGCAGGCCGACCGACGCCAACGACGTTTAGCACCCGGTCATGTCACCAGGCAGACAGACGGCTTGAGAGCGAAAGTCACTCGGCCAGGAGTGTGGTTGTGGAACTAAAGAGTCCCAAGGCTATTATTTCCGTGGCATTTACCTCGGGGCCGCAGGCAGCTTCGTCTCTCCAACAGTCAATTTGCTCTTATTTGTTCCGGGCCAGAAAGAGTGGCTAGCCAGCATTCCGTCATCGTAACAAGGAACACGCTCCGAGGGGCGCAAATCAAGGATGGGGGCTCCGGGAATTGGGATGGGCTCTGTTTGAGACTGAGCCGATGCCGGTGACTGCGCAGGGCCGTTGGATCGGCGGGTGCACTAGAAGCACCGCGAACTTGCACGCTGGGGGCTGCTGACAATACCGGCCTCATTCGGACGTCCTCCGGTGTCCGCAGACGAGGCTTGCTGGGCGAAAGGCTTGGCCTTTTGGGAAGAGACGGAGTGGCCGAAGAGGAGTGACCTCAAGTGGAGGCCTCCTTGGAGGAGCAGCCCCCCGCTTTTCCATTCCACGGCGGCCCTCTTTTCATCTTGGCGGAATGGCGACCTTGGCGGTAAAGGTCAGTGGCTAGTGGTGGTCCTGGCGGAGGACCACGGAAGGGAGCCGTCACGTCTAGTCGTGCGAGTGTCTGTGTCGCGCGCCCGTCACTAGGGCGCATCAACTGTGTGTGGCCCCGCGTCTGCATCTGCATCTGCATCTGCATCTGCGTCTGCGTCTGCGCCTGCGCCTGCGTGCTGCGTCCCTCTGCGGTGCTGCTGCATTCTGTTTCGTTACTGCCACTGGCCTCCTCCTCGTCTCCTTCGCCTCCATCGTGCGATGCTCGTCGAACGGCTGAGCCGCAGAGTGTTGAAAGCTCCTGGTAGCTAGGGCGGCACAGCTTTGGTGTTTAGTGGGTTGGAGGGGCCCACCGATGCACCGAGGGCGGCACAGCGACTTCGCTGCCAATGGCCATCAAACAATGAAACACAATGTTCCCGGCAGGCATATCTTGGGGGGATTGAGTAAAGCTGCTGCTGCTGGTCTGGTGCCACCCATACCCACACACACTCGCCGCTTCGCAGAGTTGGAGGGGGACTCGTGCAAGTGCACCGCGACAAGCATAGGATATAGAATGTTTCTCGTTGTCGCGTCTGTTTGGTGCGTATCATGACACTCGACACGGGCTGTCTCGGGAGGGGTGGTTGATTGGGCGTGCGGGTGTGCGGGGGGTATCGGAAACGATGGAAAAAGTGGTGGTAAAGTTGTAAATGCGAGGAGAATGATAACATTTGGTTAGCCCACAACAAAGGCGTCATCGTGTATGGAGCATTGGAGATGTGTGTGTATCCGTACAGTACTTGTATATCCTAGGCGGACAGGCCGACGATGATTGGATGGCGAAGTCGGGCAGGGCAGGGCAGGAGTCGGTCGTGCTGGTTTTGGTGGTTGGTTGTTGGCGCAGAGGTTTCCGTTTTGACCGTTGGCGACGACGATGCTCGGACGACAGGAGGGAGAGCAAAAGGGCGATGCTGGAAAGCAGGCAATGTTGGTTGGAGGAGTCATGTCTGTTCAAAGTGACGATGGCACAAGATGGACGAGTATTCGTGCAGAGGACGGAATAGGTAGGTACCTGTAGGTAGGTACCTGTAATCAGGTGAGTAGGTAGGCAGGTACCTAGGTATTTACCTATCTACATGTACATCGTTCCTACCCTACATCGTAGGTGCGCGGTTGAGTGTCTATGCTAGTACATACATAGTACGTACCCATCCACACCGGCAAACAGGCAGGTACGTAAATACCTGTTAGAAACAATCCGAGTGTCTGCACCTTCCCAAGTAGCTGATTCCACAGCATTTCAGCAAAAAAGAACTTGCCGGGAAGGTGTGGCTGCCCTCTCTAGTCGAATCGTGACGTCGGAAGCCAGCGGGCCGCTTGGCAATGTGGGGCAGAAGCTAAGGCGAGTCCAATGAATGACAGCAGCCGTGGGGTAGCGATGGACGGCCTGGGTTGCTTCCTTCCGTCGCCGTCGCTGCCTTTTTGCCTTACGAGGGATCTCCTTGCCTTAGGTACGTACGGTACGTACCGCGCAGTACGGATACAGTGAAGTGAGACTTGCTTGCCCTTATTTTTAATTTTTTATTCCCACATTGATTACGTACACAAACAGGTAATCGTGTTATTCCCTACTTTTCGACCGATGAAGAAGAACTGTGTTGACCACGATGAACACAAAGACAGTGGACTCGGGGGATGAGCCACTCTACTCTTGGCATGTACTCTTGGCGGGTTCAATGGAGCGGGCAGGTTGAGAGTCTCCATACTAAACGGTGCCTCGGCCGCCCGTCATTGGACATTGCATCGAACACCAAGCCTTTTAGCGTAAACTAATCCCTTTGAATACAGATATGCCTCCTCCTCAAGTTTCTCTCTCTCTCTCTCTCTCTCTCCTCTCTCCCACTCTTCCTCCCACCCCCCATGTTCCCTGTTCTTGAGCCGGCCTATGCTGTACTGTGCTGTGCTGTGCTGTGCTGTCCCGCCTCCATTCACCGTCTCGTTTGGTGTCTCTTCTGGCTGGCCTGCCTCGTTAACGACGGGCCAGCCAGCGACCGACAGACAGACATCGTCACATATCACACACACACACACACACACACACACACACACACACACACACACCCCACATCAGGTTTTCTCGGCGTTGCTCTGCTGCTCCTCTACTCAAAAAGATGGAGAGAAGGGGAAACCACTTGACTTCCTAACTATGATATGTACTTACCGTGCTCTCGGCCCTTTGGTGTTATCTGTCTAGTGTACTCTGTACAGTCAGTCTATTGTCTGCTGTGCTGTGCTGTGCTGTCCAGATGCAGATTTAAGCTTGCATCGAATCATCCATCCGTACGGTAGAATCTTCCCGCCAACCTGGTCCTGACCCTCCGGTGCCCTGTTCGTCCCAAGGGCCGAAACTCAATCCATCATCCATCATCCATCATCCTTCATCCATCCATCCATATTTCTTCTCTCTCTCGGAGCAGCAGCAATAACAACCACGGGAACAGCCTAACCTGGACCTTTGCTCATCCCGAAAGTCTGCCGAACCCGCCGGTGCCAACTTTTCTTTACAAGCTCCCCCCAGTCCGCCAACCTGACAGCCAATCTCCCACCACCACCACCACCACCACAACCATAACCTCCGCTACCAGTCTTGACCTTTTGCGGCCCCCAAGAAGAATTGTTGCTATTGCGCCTGCACGAGGAATACAATCCGAAAGGAAGAGGGAGAGAGAGAGAGAGAGAGAGAGTGAGAGAGAGAAAAGAAAAAAAGACACAAAAACACCCGTTTGCTTGACTTGGCGCCCTACCGTCTCCCAGCCCTGTGTGACGTCGATTGGACGAGGAGAAACATCGACCCGATTATTTCCCCGTTACGCTCCCTGCTTGTCATCTCGTCTTGCTCAACCTCCAAACCTCCCTCCCCCAACCGCGCGACCAACACATATGAACCACATCGCCAACCACCGGTGCGCCGTCCCCCCTCCCCCGAGTTCAACATCGACGCCGAAACCGACACCCGCATCGACATAGCCAATACGCACCCGCCATTGCTCTCGGGACCTGTGTTACATCGCACCGCCCACTCGTGCCCTTCGTCACGACGGCTCAGCTTCACGGCACCCCAAACTCACCCCCGGTTCCCTCCACTCCATCACGACGACGTCGACACGATCTCGCGAGCCCTCTCCCTCGAGAGCCACCCCAGCGCCCCCCGACCCCGCCGAATCCAACTCGATACCGCTTACCCGTCTCCCTCCCGCTGGCCCCCATACGCCGCCACCACAACGGCCCGACAGCCACTCGTCTCCCCGCGAGGCCCCGGGCCACCCGGCGAGCTCTCCCTCCCGCGAACCCAACGGGTCCCGGCCCCCCGCCTCGTCGTCGCCCATGGCTTTCTTGACCAACAACATCTGGCCCAAAGATGGCAGGAACAGATCCCATATCCCCGCCATGCCCGTGTGGATCGCAGGCGTTAGGATTCTCCAGCTGGTAAGGACACCGCCGCCTCCCCTTCCCCCTAATTCCCGACTTCTCAAAGCGTAGCGTAACGTAACCAGCGTGCCGAGGAAGGAGGGGCCCGTCACGATACGACGTATTGCTTCGAGGAAACACCACGTTGACCATCTGTCTTTCAACCACTAGGTTCTCGCCATTGCAACGTTGGGAATCACCGTCTACGGCCTCACCACCATGCAAAAGGCGACGGGATACCGCAGGATAACCGTATGTCCCATCACCCCTTGCCCGTCGACCCGGGGCCTCTTGTTTGCTTCCAGTCGGTCTTCTGTTGCTGATTATTCCTTCGTTTCTCGATACAGTCGTTTAGCGGTACAGAGGGTTTCCGTATGTCACACCACCGCTCCCGCCTCTCCCCCCCCTTTCCATGTCTCCATTACTGACGCTGCCCGTAAGCCTTTTCGTGGTTTGCATTCGCCTGGACCTTCTCTTACCTGACATGGCTGGGTGTCGCCATCATGTTCATCCCCGTCATGTACAACTGCTGGGTGCATCTGTAGGTGGCATCCCTTCCCTACATTGGCCGTTTCCCGCTAACCTTGCTTCCGCAGCGGCCTCGAGTTGCTCACCGTCGTGTTTTGGTTGATCACCATGGCCCTCCTGGCCAGCCATGCCGACGATCTCGACTCCCTCGACGCATTCATTGTGACGCTTGGCCCGAAGTACGAGGTCTACTACAAGATGAACGTGGAACCCTTTGCGGACGGCTTCGTGGCCGCCACCTTTGCTGGCACTGCCACGTCCGTCGTCAACCTCGTGCTCTTCGTCATCACCATCAGCATATTCGGTGCGTAACCCTGCGGATGCCTCTCGCTTGGCTTGGCGAGCATGCGAGTCCCGAAGCCTTCTCCCTCCACCCTGACTAACCAGCACAGGCCGCGCCCTTCACGCCATGCGCATGGCAAACCTCGAAAAGGCACTCAGCACGACCGACTCGCAAAAGACGATACAGGCCGAGGGAGACAAGATGATCGCCTCGCCGCACATGACCTCGGCCGTTCCCACCTATATCCATTGGAACAGCCAATACCCTCCACCCCACCACGGCCAGGCCTTCCACTTCTATGGCCAGCCGTACGCCCAGTCGCCGCACTCGCAGACCAACACCTCGCCGCCGACCTCCGTCCCTCCCCATGGATTCCAGCCGGCCTACTTCCCCAGCAGCCAATGGCCGCCCCAGCCGCCCCCTCGACAACAGCCCCCTCCCGAGGGCGGTGTCTGGCCGGCTCAGAATTACGCCATGTACCAACAACAGGTCCCCATTGCGCCGCAGCACACCGGCCAGTCTGGCAGCGACATGGGCTCGCCACAGTTCCCCATGGTGAACCCCGTGGCACCTACCAAGTCGGACCTCCCCGGCGTCTATTCGACACCCCCTCCAGGAGCCGCATACTCCGGACGCCCTCCGCAGCAACACCCGCCACCACAACCGCCTGCGCACGGCACGACACAGTCACCGGCCGAGCTCAACGACGGACGCGGCGACGAGAACATGCCAGCCGAGCTGCCCAGCAACCCCCCTCGGTCACCCCGGTGACGAGCATTTACACCATATAAAAACGAAAAGAGAGGCGGCGAGTTCCGCCTCAGGATGAGATCTAGTGGCATACGGGAATGACGAATTTCAGGCACGATTGATTCTACGGCGTTTGGTTTGAGGGACATGCATAGAAAACGGCGTTTCTTCTTCTTTTTTTCTTTTTCTTCCAGGGGTTCGGCGCAACCCGCCCCCGTTGCTCGGATAGCACGGCTGGAATTGGATCAACATTTATGGGCTTCCGCCCCCCCCTCTGCTCCATAAGGGGAGACACCGTACCTATTCATGATGAACGGGATGGGGCGGACCATGGCGTAAAGACGAAGGAGAGACGGCTCCGTTCGTGCGCATGGTTTCTGCCTTGGTTGTACTTCTAGTTAGATGGCCGTCTCCTTTGAGGGACGCGTGGTTCATGTCGCTTAATATCATGACACCCCGACCTACAAGCCGATCGGGAAGCCCACCTTTCAAGCGTTCTCTTCTCGTGTCATCTCTACTTGCTTCTCCTGCTACCGTGTTTGTAAATGGGCGCTGCTTAGGAGCCTCTCGTCGTGCCCAGCACAGCTCTCCCTAGCTCGGGCCGAGGTTCGATTACTTGAAAGAAAAAGGGGGAAACATTAAATTAATAGCCGAGCCAAAACTTGATGGTATCTTGTGTGAAAAAAACAGGGTCCTCAGTACACGTAGCGGAAGTAGGGGTTCTCCTTGTCCGTCAGGTCCTGGAAGGCCAGCTTGGCGCGCTCCTCCTCGTCGACGGGCAGCGCGTCGCGACGGCGGTTCTCGGCGCGGAGGAGGCGGTACAGGGCGGCGGCGGCGACGAGGCAGACGACGTAGCAGACGATGAGGCCGGTCCACAGCTCCGGGTAGTGGCGGGCCCTGCTCTGGGAGCGGACGAGCTGGGGGCCGACGATGTTGCCGACGCAGTAGGCGACGAAGACGGTGGCGGCGACGAAGCTCTTCTTGGTGTGGCCGGCGACGTTGGACATGCCGAGGGAGATGACGAGGCTGACGACGGCGCCGAAGAAGCCGGTGAGGGAGTACCCGACGACGGGGGCGGCGGCGTGGCGCGACCAGCCGGCGCGCCAGACGAGGGCGCAGCCGGCGATGACGGGCAGGCAGCAGGCGGCGAGCATGACGACGCGGGCGTTGGGCAGGCGGGAGCCGAGGTAGCCCGTCAGCAGGATGGCGGCGAAGCAGACGGCGCCGAGGGGGAACTGCAGCAGGATGGCCTCGAGCGGCGACCAGCCAAAGGTCGAGACGATGAGGGGGCCGAAGCCCGAGACGGCGCCGTTCATGGTGTAGGCCGAGGCCATCATCAGCGCGACGAGCCAGACCTTGGCGTCGGCGACGGCCTCGCGGAGCTGGTGGGGCTTGAACTTTGCGCAGCGGACGCCCGTCTGGCCGCGGCGCAGGCGCTCGACGGCGGCGAAGCGCTCCTCGCGCGTGAGGAACCAGGCCGACACGGGGGAGGCGGGGAGGAAGAAGCAGGCGACGCCGAAGAGGAAGGTGAGGCAGCCGGCGAGGATGTAGATGGACTGCCAGGGGCGGAGACCGCCTCCTCTTCCTCCTCCTCCTCCCCCGCCGCCGCCGCCGCCGCCGCGCGAGGAGGAGGAGGAGGAGGAGGGCACCTGGGCGAAGGCGTAGTTGAGGCCGCCGCCGAGGACGGTGAAGAGGCCGGTGGCGGAGAACCACCAGCTCTGGCGCAGGGACTGCTCGGCCTGGGTGTAGTAGCCGGCGACGACGCACATGAAGCCCGTGGGCACGGCGCTCTCGACGAAGCCGAGGGCGAAGCGCTGGGCGTAGAGGCCGCGGTGGTCCGTGACGGCGGCGGTGGAGGCGCACGCGGCGGCCCAGACGAGCACGACGGCGCCGAGGGTGCGGCCGGGGGGAACCGCTGGAGGGCGTAGGACATGGGGTACAGGCCGGCGAGCATGCCGAAGTAGAAGAGGGACGTGGCCCAGGAGAGGCGGGAGGTGTCGACGGCGCCACCGCCGCCGCCGCCACCGCCGCCGCCGCCGGGCACGGGCACGGAGAGGCGCAGGTCGGCGGTCATGCCGAAGAGGACGGCGGAGCCGAGGATGGCCTTGTCGTAGTAGACGAGGCCGTAGCCGAAGACCATGGCGGGGACGAGGAACCGGTCGATCTTGCGGACGGCGCGGGCGGCGACGGCCGGGTCGTAGGGCTGCGTGCGTGCGCCGACCATGGCGAGGGCGTCGTCGCCGTCGGCGTCGGGCCCGGGTGTGGATGTGGCTGTGGCTGTGGCCTCGACATCGGCGTCGGGCCCGGGTGCGGGAGGCGGGCCCGGCGCCGGGTCGCCGGAGGTGGCGAGGTCCTTTTCGGGGGCCATTTGCGCGGTGTGTCTGTATGTATGCATGGAGGGGCGGGATGCGCACTTTGTTTCGGCTACCGGTTTCTTATTTACTTTGGTCTCTTCTTTTTTTCCCTGTTCTGGTACCGTGTGTGTGTGCGGGTGTGTGTCCGAGGGCTTTTTTTGCCCCCTTTCCTCTTCTGGGCTTGACATTACACAAAAGTCGAGAAACTCAAAAGACAGGGGGGTGGAGGAGATGAGTGAGCTGAACTTTTTCTCCCTCTCTCTCCCTCCCTCTCTCTCTCTCTCTCTCTCTCGTCTGTCGTCGCTATGACAGTCTCATTGGTGGTGGGCCGGATTGTGTCTCCGTTTTGTTGAGGGAAAACTCAAAACCCAAAATTCCCGCTCCTGGATGAGAAAAAAGGGATCGGCGGACTGGATGGTAGGGGGGGGGAGGGGGGCCACAGAGTTTGAAGGGGGGCGGGATTTTCCACGAGCGGATGAATCATCTCTTGGCCAATATGCTCGTCAATGAGACGGGGGGAACTTTGTCTCTTCTCAGTCGTGCCGCGTCAATCTCCCAGGTACGTAAAGTAGAGCAAAGCAAAGCAAAGTGACTGGTCGTCCGGCGGGTTTAAGCTATTTCAACTCGGTCCACCTCCACGTCGCAACGCTACCTAGTCGCGGGGCTTTGCCGTCGTGATGATGCTTGGAGGGCGTCCCGGGAGGAAGGGTAAGGTCGGCGAGCCGAAAAGCATGCCCTCCGCCCGTCCATCCCTGGGGCAAGGGGGAAGGGGGGTCGGCGGCCAAGAATGGATTACCTCACAAAGCGGCATGCCAATCTAGATCCCGCTGGACGGATCTGGGTTCGCGGGCTTTTTGTGCCTGAAAACCTTGCAGCTCGACGACACCGACTTGCAGCAAGTGTTGAATGCATCGACTGGGGTAGAGATGAGGGGTTGGATGAGTCGTCCGGGTTGAGGGGGGGCCGAGTTCGGTCGCCGGAACGCCCCGGGAGGTACGGAGAAAACGCGGAATACATGAGGTGAGCGGCGGCGAGCCAAGCACGTTAGCTGATCGACGCTGACTGTTGGACTATAATAGTACAAGAGGCCTTCTTGTTTTCCGTTTTTCGTGGCTGAGATTGACTTCAGTAGGCGAGTGTGATCCCGTCTGCCAACAAAGTTAATGGGCGAGAAGTGAGGCAAGTTTGTCTGACTCGAGTGAGAGAGAGCCCTTGGACGGGAGGAGAGGCGAGGATTCGGCAACTCATCCGACACGGCAGAGACGACGATGCTGAGTGAGACGCTGTTGAGCCATTGCGCATTCAGATGGAAGTCTAGGAGACGATATATCAAAGCCTTGTGCTTGATTCCCTTCCTCTACAAGAGCGGTTTGTATAAGAGATGATGTATTACAGGCAAACAATCAAAGAAGCACAGGTGTGGAGGGTTGGTTACATATGGCAAAAAGGACTGGTTCAAGGGGCCCAACTTACCCATCATCTATACAAATCCTCCCACTTTTTACCGAGAGTTTCGAGCTGGCCACCATCAAGCACAGCAGAACACCCCTCCATTCGATACTCTTCGAGGAGGTGAGAACTGCACTTCGCCGTGAGAGATGAACAGCAACGGAGGTGGCGTTGCCGAGGACACACACACACACACACACACACACACACACACACTCACACACACACAAGCCCTTTTCGCCACCGGAATTCTTATGGAAAACGCAATGGATACTATTTAGAGGCTCTCTGGTAGGATGATGCCTGGACCACATGCCATCAAGTAATCGTATGAATGAATGAATGTGCGGCAAGAAACCGACGGGTGCACACAGTTAGTCCCTCAGCTCATGGCCACACAATCTTCCGCAAGACAGACCATGAACGTGACATAATCGCCCATCTACGTTTGCTCGCTTCCCCCCCCCCCCCCCCTCCGAACGGCAGTCCAAAGCTCTTTCAAACATGGACCGACCTCGCCCGCGGACCGCGTCCTGCCTCGACACAACCTCGCGACATCAGCGAGACACCACACCATCTTTCCATGCCCCCTCCATCAGAACCTTGTTTGGAGAAACACTGGGTCGCGGGCCCATGCTCCACGAACTCCGGAGCCTGGGCCAGTCTTGGCTTTCCAGGGAGGCTCCGTTCCTGCGCCGCTCGCTGTCCCGCCATCTTGAGTGCCGTGTGGTCGGCAGCCGTGGACAGGACGACTGACACTGACTGCCGGTGAGGCCATCACGAGGGCGTACGGCGACACACCCGTTTTGATATGGGACATGTAGGGTCTGCCAGAGACCATCACTCTGGCATCTGCGTCGGATGTAAAACCAGGGTCATGAGCAAAGAAATGACGTGCGTATTATTAGTCGCAAAAGGCCCTCCGTCTCGGTATCTTCCTTTCCCCCGGGTATCCCAGGCCCCCTTTTCTCGTGCCTCGTCTTGCCCGTCAGAACCTCAATTTATCGTCCGCCATAAATAAGTACACGATCCTGACTGCTGCCGATATTAACACCAGCTTCTCCTCCGGTTCTTCTTCTTCTTCCCCTCCCAATAGGGGCTGTGATTAAACACTAGGGCTCACTGGAGCTTGGCCGACTCCCTTCCGGCCCTGGTCTCTTTCCACCACTTCTGCTCGCGCTTGATTGCGTATTCGATCCAGAACCTCGCGCTCACGCCCCAGATGATGATCCACCCGAACAGCACGCCCAGCGTCGAGCCGAAGGCGCGCTCGAACTCGAGGTTCCAGATCATGGCGGCCACGTAGCCGATGTAGCAGGTGCACCCGCCGATCCAGAACAGCGTCAGCTCGAGGATCATCTTGCGGAACATCATCGACTTCTCGTACCGCGCCACGTACTTGCGGCGGAACTCGCGGTTCTGCGCGCCGTCGACGGCGAAGAAGTCCTCGGCCGCGTAGTAGACGATGGGCTTGAGCCGCGAGCCCTTGGGGTCCGAGTTGATGCGGAACGGGGTGCGGATCGGGATCAGCGTCATGAAGGCGATGACGTCCAGCACCATGAACATGAAGGCCGGCGAGTACAGGTACAGCCACGTCACCACGTCGGGCTCGTACACCGTCGTCGAGCACACGAAGGGCACGAGCGCGGCGATGAGGCCGAGGGTGTACACCCAGGTCGTGGCGTCCAGCTCCCACCAGTGCTTGGAGAGCAGCGGCGCGCACTCCTCGAAGCGCGCGATGAGCCGGTACACGCGCACGACGAGGATGTACACCTCGCCGAAGCCGAAGGCGATGATGGCGAACCCGAGGATCCTGCTCTCGATCGTCTGCACGGGGGGCAGCCCGCACTCGACGCCGGCGTCGTACGCGCCCTGGCACGCCGCGCGCCGCTCGTTGCGCCGCGCCCGCAGCCAGCTGTAGTAGATGCAGACGGGCAGCGCGAGGTCGAAGAAGAGGATGACGAACGGGCCGATGGAGATGGAGATGTGCTCGGTCCAGTCCACGTACTTGGTCAGCGGCTCCAGCTCGTCGCCGTCGTCGTCGTCGTCCTCGCCGATGCCCGCGAGGACCCCGGGCGCCGACGGGTCCGCCGACGTCGTCTTGGGCGCGCCGTCCCGCCCGAGCATCAGCGCCGTGCTCTCGCTGACCGCCGTGATGGTCGAGTCGCGGAACGTGTCGCGGTTGTCGTCGCCGGGCGCCCGCTCCCTGGCGACCGCCGCCACCGAGGCCGCCGCGGGGGCGTCCGCCACCGGGCCTCCCGGCGCGGACTCGCCGGTCGTGACTGCCGCCTCCTGCTCCTGCGACGCTCTCCTGCTGCCGCCGCCGCCCGTTTGCGACGGCGCCCTGCTTCCCGGCTGCGATCCCGCCGCTGCCGCCGCCGCGACGGCGGGGGCCCGGCTCCCTTCCTCGCCCTCTACCGACGGTCTCCTGCTGGGCTCCTTCTGCGAGGCGGGTCTGCTGCCGGCATCCTCGCTCGGCGCTCTGTCTTCCGAGGGGTGACTCTTGGCCGAGTTGGAGTTGCTCTGTTCTTGCGGGGCGTCCTCGAAGCTCGCCCTCGACGATGTGATCTGCTCGCCGTCGAGGTCGTGGTCGTTGGAGTTGTCGGCGGCCGACGGAGCGGCCGGCTCGTTGCTTCCCGACTGCATCGGTGCGATGCTTGCGATTCTAGATTCCGACGATTACGCGTGTGATGAGGGGGAGGGGGGAATGAGCATGAGAAAAGAAGCAGTAGCAGCAGCAGAGGAGGAAGAAGAAGTGGAACAACAACAATAAGAATAATAAAAAGAAGAAATAAAAAAGGAGTTGAGGGAATGACGGCTCCTCTCTGCTCGCCCGCCAGAAAAACAGCAACGGACGAAAGATGTTCTCGAAAGGGGGGGGTGCGCTTCTGGGGGCGGGTGTGATGGCAGAACCAGAGCTCACTTTTGCATCCCCTTCCACCACACACAGAAAAGGAGCGGCCGACTACTTCATATGGAAAGGCGCCGCGTCACTGGACAGGTGAGTGATCGAGTAGGAGGGTGAGAGCGTGTGAGAGTGAGTGAGAGAGCAAGAGAGGCAAGGTGTGTGTGTGAGAGAGGTGGGCGCGGATCCCCCAAGCGCACGTCCACTCACCATCGCAACACGAATCATGAGAGGCAGCATGAATTGCATCGTGACTTCAGACGGATGCCTGACCGGCCGGTCCCTGGTTTCGAAAACGTGCCCAGATGGTATCTGAGCCACGATCCCCCCAGCATGTCCCTCCTGAGGCCCCGAGCAGCAGCAGGAGAACCAGCAGTGGACCACGGGGAGAAACCTTGGAATACTCCTGGACGCGCGAGAGGCTTTTCCCTGTGCTGGACGGCGTCACGCAGCGCGTGATTAGCATAGGTCGAAGAGCGGTCACCTCTTCCTCTCGTCCTCACACTCTCTCTTCCCTACCTAGTAAGCTTTACTCGGCATGAACCTAGAGGTTCACCTCAACCGCTGTCACCAATGCTCCAGATCATCACGCCCCCCCCCCCCCCCCCCCCCCTCTAACTTTGCCCACATTTGCCCCTTCTCTCCCTCTTTGGCGCGATATGGGAACGGTCAGAGGGTAATAGGATGAGAGCGTGAAGAGAGACGGCGTCTCGTTCTGATACCCGCCCCCCCTCTCACCAGACAACCGGGCCAAGACCTCTCAGTTCCGAGAGACAGAAACGTTGTTCTTCCGGCAGTTAACCACAGCCCCCTCCCCCCGGGGGAGGACGGTTAGATACTGTGTACGAACTTTCGGGGGATTTTACCTCTCCACGATCGGCGGCGGACTCCGTCGCGGCACAGCGATTAGCTCCCGGCACCAGGGGCCAACCCTGAACCCTGGCTTCCCGTCTCCCTATCTCCCTCCCTCTATCTCTTGCTGCCGAGGTCCGGACCCCGGCGCGCGCAATGCCGCATGCTCAGTGAGCCATCCAGATACAGATAGGCCTCAGAGGAACGCGTTGCTGGATTCCGAGCAAGTAAAGCCGACCAGCCCGCGAGCTTTCACGTTCTTGACTCGGGCCCAGAACCGTTGATGCTCGGTCGCGTTCGGATCTAGCGTCAAACGCTAGTGCGGACCCGGTTCCGGATATCAGAGCACTCGGAAGAAAGAGCATGGCAGAGCATGGCAGAGCACGGCAGAGCACGGCAGAGCGTGGCATATGGCATGGCAGGGCATGGCAGAACCGACAGCTGAGCGCGCATGCACGCCGTGTTCAACCGATCAGGGCATATGGGGCCGAAAGGGGGGGGGGAACCATCAAGCTCTGGTCAATGGAGCACAAGTTGCATACGGGCCAGAGCTGGGAAAGCAACTTGTCAAGCAGCCAAAGAGATAGATCTCTGGGATGAAGCTGTTTCCAAGTCATGCTGCTGCTGCTGCGACCATGCGGGCGAGGCGTGCGGGCATCAAAGCGCATAGCTTCCTTCGCCCTCCCGCACATATGGATTCGCCCTTCTCCGTATCCCAATTGCGCATTTCCCCCCTTTTGCGAGACTCTCCCATGTTTCTGCTCTCTCTCTCTCTCTCTCTCTCTTCAATGCAGGTATGCCTTGACTCCCGCCAAGGTTCTGCCCTGGACCTCCTCCACCGCCGGGCCCCTTGTTGTGGTGGTTTGCCGTCTGACGATCCAGAGTACCTACATAGTATATCTTCCCCATATCATGGCGCTAGTCTACGAACGCGTGTATATGGCACTGTGCATGAGGTAGTACATCGTGCGTGAGCTGCCGCTAGTGCTGCTCGTCATGGCATCCCTGAACCCGGTCATCTAGTTGAGACCCTTACCTCCCGCCGGGTTGTTGCCCACAACTCAGTGTCCGTCCCCTTCTCATGCTCCAGCCGAGGTTGAGAGACGAGACTAACCCAGCGAGGGTTAATTACTACAGAACATACGTTTCGGCCCTATCCTTTGGGTGTGTCAAATAATGGCCGAGTCATACATTTATAGAAACGGTAACCGCTGAATGACTGCATTGCTATATCGCTCATCGACGATGAGCCATCAGAGCCCCAGATTCTGTCTCGTCTAGCCCGGGCAACGCCACGTGGAATAAACAGCCGCCAGCCTCCATCTCGACACGGCATCCCTTCCTCCCTCCGCTTTCCCGCTCAACCCGAACCGGGGATAGGTATCTCTATGACACAGGAGAGAGCAGCATGACTCTCCCTCCTACAAGTATCACCCAGGTGCAACAATCCCCCCCTTTTCCCAACCAAGTCTATGGGAAACCAGGCATCATCGCCCAAGGCCACCTGCTGGCGGCCTGACCGAGGACACGTCGGTCAAACCGTCGGTGGGTTTTCTCGCGGACCCCAGCCGCTCCACCCAAGGGCCGCCCTCGGACTGTCTTGCTGCTCAAGCTTCCGGGGATTCTGCCAAAGTGCCTCACGAGACCAGCGCCGCCGACTCGTGGTCGACAGCCCATATTGAACAGCTCCAGCGAACGCTTGCAACGGACGAAGCCTCCCCGACTAAAGCGGCCCATCCCCTCCTCACTCGGCGGGGACACTGCTGCATGTCCCGCTGCCGTTCTCCCGGCCCCCCGCGCCTAATCGTTTCTGTCAGCCGCTAACTAGACCGGACCTCTGCGAGTCAGCGCCCTGAAGGCCATCGTGATCTTTGCCGCCTTGCAAAGATCAGTCCTCACGTCACGTAGATCCGCGAATGCAAGCGGCCCGCCGGCTTGCGACGTTGGTCGCATTCACAGCATATCAACGGCTTCAGGAGGCCCCGCCGCGCTCGGCCGACCGATGACGCAGTCAGTACTACGCTTGACCTCCCGGATCTGCTTCTGAATGGCCCTTCTCTCGCAGGTCCCATCCAGAGGGATTTCCAAACTTGTTCCACGGCCGTTCCGAGGCACCATCGGAGCGTGAGTTCCTCGAAAAGAGAGAGCAGGGAGAGAGAGAGAGAGAGAGAGAGAGATAGAGAGCATTGACCGAACCATCCCCCCCTTTCTCGCGTCCCTTGACGTCGTGCAGAAGTTTCTAGACGGACGGTAGAAGGAATACCAAACCGCGCTGGGCTGTGTCGCATCCCACGCGCGTGGGCGCGGGACCATGCGTGTCTTTTCTTCTCTTTCTCATTGTTATTCGTTCTTCTCATTGGAAACAAGAAAAAAAACCTGCATGATCCCCCTGTCAGAGCACCGTCGCGCTGGGCCCCGTCACTGCATCGTCAAGGCTGAAATGAGGCCGCAGCCCCCGGCCCTGTCTGATGCAGGTTGGGCATTTGGAACGGACGCTTCAGGTCGGCAACCTCGCTGACCTGCGCTAGTAGTTCGACATTTGGAAGATGAGGCGATCTAGTGCCGCCGCCGTATGGGGCGAATGGGGCTCATTCCAGTTACACCGCATGTTCGCTTTCTTGCATGAGGAAATGGGTGCATGCGGCCTTCCGCACGCCACGTGCTGGTCTCGGCCGCATCGCGTGGGAACGGCTCGAGGGCGCTTTACTCGACATGTTGTTATCTTGATGTGATGCGTCGTCTGTGGGCAGATGGACGAGAGGGCACTGCGGCTGCGGGTCGTGCCACGACAGAGAGGCATGTGAGCTTTGTTTACACGTCAGCGCCCGTTTCGAGTCGTGTTCGCTTCCTCTGGACCTCTCAACTACGGAGATACGAGACTCTCACGTTAGAAAGAACTCGTAGCCACGCGTCTCATGCTCAAAAGATGTCATTATGACTTGCTTACGGGCTTGTCTATCGACAGAGCTGTCTCACAGCCATCTTCGTCCATCGGGCTGTAAAAGGCTATAATTACACATGTCCTGACTAGTTCCTCGGGTCATCGGCATAAGAATGGCCGGTGCCTTTAGAGGTCTTGTGTGTGACTTGCTATGCTACTATTACAGCATATTTGGCCAATATGTGCTCTTGCTCTGTCGTGTTGCATGCTAGCAACGCGTTATACACCCTGCCATCGTCATTGGAGTGGCGTTCAAGTGAATTACGACCGCCAGAGAATTGGGACTCATCAAAGTGAAGTGCGGTGCTCTTAACCGCGTCTTAAAGAGCATCGATCTCGGCTACTCGATGCGTCTTTCCACGTGCTGCAAGTTTCGATAGATGAGCAATGAGGAGCAAGGGCGTCAAGATCCAAAGGACGACTCTGGAAAATGGATCACTTATGGTCCAGTATCCGTGTGCTTTGAATCATTTGATTTAGGAGTCCCAGCTAGGAAATCAAGGCATCCGGAAGGCTACAAACACCGAAGAGAATGCCAGTAATCCAACTACAGCAGCGAACACTCCAAACATCAACAGTGGGTGCCGAATTCTCTACAGGTTTCGTTCCTCGAAATAAAATGGCAAAATATCAACTGGGCAAACTGTACCGGCTTCCGGCAGCTCTCCAGACACGAGATATTGCCGGATAAGGCCGACGGTACACTGGCTAGGCGTGCTTATGGAGCAATGGCCGACAGAGTCCTACTGCAGCAGTCTGGCACCCTCGAACTTGGGGACGTTCAGCTTCGTGCCTTCGAGAGGCGCGACGGGGTCCAGCGAGTTCCCGATGAAGAGCACCGGCGTCTTCGTCTTGTCCCCGAACGGGCCGTCGAAGCGCCATTTCGGCCGGATCGGGTAGCCGGCACAAACCAGCCTGGACGACAAGGCAAACGTTACGCCAAACAGCAGGCTCTGCCTCTTGAGGCCCTCGACCCGATCGACCATCTCGGCCTCGGTGATGTTTCTGGAGTCGGGGCTGTCGGTGCAGTAGACCCCGAAGCTGAACTCGCTCCAAGACTCTTCGCCCATGTACTCTATGACGCAGTCTGACGTACGGCACTCGTCGACCGAGGTTGGCAGGTTGCGAGAAGGGAGCATGCCGACGACCGCCGGCGTGATCGTGCCGTTGACCAGCGCTGCCAGCGTCTCGGCAAGCTTGATCATAAGCATCCCTTCCTCCGAAACCACGACGGGATTGGTCTCGAGGTCGTCGAGGAGGTCGTGGATCGCCTGGTCCACCTTCACCAACGTGAGCACATACATGTTTTCCGCAAATACGTGGATAGGGCATACCCGGATTGAGGTAGACTTCACCGCCGTAATGAGGGTCAAGTATCAAGATGTCGGCAGGCTGTCTGATTATGGCGATTGCGACCTCGTGGTCAAGCCAGTGTTCCTCGGGGGCTGTCCAATCCATGGGAAGAAGCAGCCTCGCGCATTGAAACTTTTCAAGGCATGGTACATAAACTGGCTCTCTCGATGGGGGAAGCGCATCCCAATCAAAGTTCGGAGCGCTGTTGTTGTTCTGAGCGGCGATCGCTGCGAGCTGGCTCTGGTGCGAGGGTGCTACTAGCCTTGGAACTAGACCGCGTAGCAAAGCGTCTCTGCCTAGAAGAAGGATGCCACCGAGAGCTAAGACGGCCGTCGTCCATCTCTTCTTCCTCGTCGAAGACCCCTTGCAAAAATACGCGGTCGTGTTGGATAAGGCCTTTTCGTCCATGGTTGGTGGTTTGACATGAGAGGCGCTGGGGGCCCGCGATGAAACTAAAACACACCATTAGAGTGAAGAGTTGTTAACATCTTAAGACCAATCAGTTAATGATCGGCCCAGCTTGCTCGACCGGCCTGGCATGGAACTATTGGGTGAATTTGAACCGATGAAAAGACGTGTCGGAGGACTATCACAGCATGACGCGGATTGCTCACGTTTCACCGTTACCTGCATGTGTCCGGTTTCTTGTTGGCACAGCTTGATATAACGAGCTTGCCTCCTTCATCAAAGTGTGGATACAACCGGGTAAAATACCGTCCGTCTTATTCCCCTTCGTTAGACAACGAACGCGCCAGGAACCCAGTGCTACTATCAAAGATTAACCTCGCATCAATAGGCCGCGCGTGGCTAGAATGATCATCATCTTCGCAGCTGGAATCGATCTGACATATAGTGTCACCAGTCCTTCAACGATATGAAACCTGTGCTTCACAGGCCATGTTTAGTTGCCATGGAATGCAACGGCTGTCATTTTCCTTGCAGGAAAAAGCTGCTGTATTGCCAACCTGGGGTCTTAATACTGTTTGTTTTGAAGGATTATGAGCCTGCTTTTTCTACTGATAGAGTTGGTGCAGGCTATTTAGAGGTCTAATTCGAATGGGATTAAAATGTCAACGGATTGAGAGCGAAACTTTTTCACCAAGGCTCATAGATATCAACTTTTAGTGATTGATTTACTTACCCCACGAAGGTCAAGACCCATTTACAGTCACTTAGTAATTTCTTCCTAATAAGGCTAACCCTACGGGAAAGTCGAGCACAAGACTGTGACGGTCCGTTATGACCATTCAACAACCAGGCCTTGCGCGGATCATCTCAGTGTAGTCTCAGCAGGAGGTCATCACAACACGAACCTTCGAACCAGACATCTGCCTCTACATCCTATTGACTCAGGTTCCAAGTGCAAACACGATCAGCGTCAAGTTGGCTCATTGACTTTAGTCAAGATAGGAAGCAGCACAGTCAAAGAGAATTCGGAGGCATGATTGGAAAGTGACAACTGAAAGCCTTATCACTGCAGAGACTTGCATCAGACCATAGGAGCAAAAGGTTGACTTGGTCAAAGAAGCCTCATAGGTGGATATTGAGACTTGACTTGGCACATGGATTACTTTGGGTCACACATATCAAATTCCTTATATGATTGTAGGGTTTCCGGACAGGCGGCGTACGGGGCCTTGAGCTGATATCAATAGAGGGCATTGCAGTAAAAAGGATAGTTTCAAGTTTCGAATATGTAAAAGTGAATGTGCAGAAGTTCCAAATGTTTCCGAGAAGAAATCCTGGGTGTATCGCGGACCACTCATCGCCACAATCGATGGCATTGGTTCGACTCTGTTACTCTAAATGCTCAGTGTCGTTTGTGTTCCCGGCCACCGATTTGGCAGAAATAAATGGTGTTTGTTTGGCGCTCTAAATGCACTGAGAGTACCATTGGTTTTGAGCAGAGCAGGTCGAGCCAGACGCGCAGCAAGTAGGTCCGGTCCACCCGGAACCGCCACACTGGCCCCATTGAGCGGAACACTGTGGAATGAACGGTTAGCAGGGGGGATACAACCCTTTCTGGACAGGAATGACTTACGCTGCCGCCACCGCCGCCGCTGGGCGGAGGGCTCGTGGGCGGGGTGCTGGGAGGAGTGCTCGGCGGGGTGCTGGGAGGTGGGCTGCTTCCAGAGGAACCGACGGTGATGGTGGCAGAGCCACTGCTGAAGTAACCTTCGGTGGCGACGATCTGGTAGTCGTGCGTGCCCAGGTTCAGGCCGACCTGCGCCCAGGCGTTGAAGTGCGTGGCCGTGTTGACGGAACCTCCCACACGCTTGCTCTGGCGAACAGACCAATACTGCTGAAAGGTCCGGGTGCCGTCGATGGACGGAGCGTTGGTACGAGTGCTGACGAAGATGTCGTAGGTGCTACCATCACTGACGACGGAGCCCTTCTTGGTTGCTCCGCTGGACGGGTTGTAGGTTCCGAAGTTCTCGACGATGTAGTACTAGACAGTCGTCAGAGCCGGGGAAATCTTCATCAGAGTGCTGCGGTCACTTACCTCGATCAGTGGGTTTCTAGTCCAGCCGTAGATAGCGAGGTAGCTGTTGCCGTTCGGCTGGTAGGTGCCGGAGTACGTGATGGTCCTGCAGCAAGGTTACTTGAATGCAACATCAAGAACTTCCAACACAACAAACGTACCTTGCGGTACCAGGGTTCCAGCCTTTGCCTCCCACGAAGTTACCGCCGCTCTGCCAGACAACACTGTACTGACCACCAGGACCATTGGTGTAGGTGACTGGGGAACCTCCGTCCGTCCACCACGAGTAGTAGAACCCGTTGTGCGTGCCGGTAGACGAAGGAGTCGACTGGCGTTTCATCAACTCGCCCGGGGCGGCGAGGGCCCCGGCGAAGGCCGTAAGGGCGACGAAGAGAGAGGTGAACGAAACCATGGCGATGGAGTCACTGGGAATCGGATGAATTCGAACGAGCCAAGATCGGAAGCACAACAGTCCAACGCCGGCCCCTTATAACGGCCTCATGTCTTTCTTGGCGTGGCATCTCGGATTGGTCGTCAAGCAAGCACAGCCTAATGAAGATTTCCCTCTTCGGGCTCTTATATTGTGGCTGTTTGAGGGTGTGTTGGAAGCAACCAGTAGGACGGACTCGATTGCTTGCGTGACCGAACAATGCTCTTTTCCTGCTTGATGAGGGACTTCGGGTGTCACATTGCGGGGGGACTGCAATCAATAAGAGAGACTTTGGGTAACATTGGAACCTCAGCAAACATTCTCAAATCACCCGGCACCCAAACAGTTTGTACAGCCTTCAACGATAATGGCCTAATATCCGCCACAACGCCACGAATTTGGTGACGAGTATTACTGTTCCCTTCATTGTTCACGAGAACTACAAGCCGACCCGCTTGATTCCCCGTTTGGGCCTGCCATATAAAAGCTTGACTAGACTCGCAAGAGACCACAAGCTCCCAACTCTGCTGGTATCAGCATCGTCGTGTCCATAGCTGCTCAGCGCAAATTCGGGCACTTTGATTGATAGTGCGTTTGTACCTTGGACGTTCCAGATTAGGTGCCTTTGGACCGTCTCAAAAGAGTAACGGAACATGGAGCCCGCATACAAATACCGGCTTCTCCACACTTCGGCGTCCCAGCTAATATGGGGTTTGCGATTTAGCCGACGGCAAAAGCTGGACAGGATGCGTCCGAGACATTTACCGGCGGGAGCCTCTCGTGCCACGAGTATTGTCCTATATACCCGGTCGAGACCACACGACCCCCCAGTTCACACAACGATGATGAGATTGCGTTCTAAGCGAGGTCGTAGAGCTGCAGCCTGCTGAGATGTGAGCGGTGGGCGGTCTGGGCCTTGGCCAAGGGGATACCTACTTTACGTCTCTGCATCGATCTTGCAGGGGGTGCGCCGGCTTTGATTGGGGAATTTAATACGTGCTTGAACGATTCCTCGGAACTTTTCTGTCAGGTGGAGTAAGCTGGGAACAAGATTAAATGCTAGACCATATTGCCCGATTGGTGTATAAATAAGGGGGGTGCGTAACGTTGTTCGAAATGGTATCTGGGTACGCCACGAGATTTGCTTCATTTTTGCGAAGGCCTGATTTCGATAACTATCGTCGACGGAGAGTTTTCATCCAACTGATACTTGGACATCGGAAGCTTTGGGAGACTCGATGAACATTCACCTCCTTTTGGTTGGTCGATAATAGAGTCGCAGCACGTAACCGGGCAAATATGACCTTTTATATGGAAGCTCACGTCAGCCACCAAACAACAATCTATTCATTTTCTGATGAGGATATGATACGTTCATAAATGCCTTACATTTCAAGCGTCTGACTTGCCGGCAACGGCGACTATATGTTCTCCAGTTCACCTCAAGCTCACCTAACAAGGACAGATTTCTGGACTCGTAAACAGATGCCAATTCATGGGTTACTATCCAATAACCACTGTTACAGGGACAAGCGGATACGTTCAATTTCACGTACCCAACATTACTAAGTGCCACCCATTGCATCATAAACTCTGCCCAGGATGCTTTCATACACCTAGGCGTAATGATAACCTTCTGTCCGCAGTTCCGGCACCACCATGCTCTTCGAGGTCCGCGTCAAACATGGGGCCATAATCCGTAGGACTCTGGGGCAACACTGCGATAGAGTCCCATCTAGAGTACCCGGATTCGGACATCGTCGTCGTCGTCGTCTTACACCCGGCGCTTTGTGGATCCTGCGTGATCCCCTTCATGTCGCTGTTTCCTGACGCCGTGAAACCTTTCCTCAAACTGCCGATGCGGCTAGAGAAAAACTTCCACCATATCTTGAAGATAGGCATGCACAAGACGAGATTGCCTACCAGCATTGCTGTGCTGACCTCGCGGATGCACCAGATAAGCCACACAGGGTCGAACGAGTTTGAGAAAACAGCCACTTTGAGCAGGATTGACGAGAGCATCTGTTGAATTCAGCCTT